GGGACGAGAGCTGAGGAAGCGTTGTTCTAAATCAGCCATAAAAATGTTGGCATACTGTGGGGCCATGCGGGTACCCATAGCAGTGCCGCTGATCTGAAGGTATACATTGTCCCCAAATGTGAAATAGTTATGGGTAAGGACAAAGTCACAAAGTTCAGCCACCAGGTTAGCCGTGACATTATCGGGGATAGTGTTCTTGACGGCTTGTAGTCCATCTTTGTGTGGAATGTTGGTGTAGAGGGCTTCTACATCCATAGTAGCCAGGATGGTGTTATCAGGAAGATCACCGATGGATTGAAGTTTCCTCAGGAAGTCAGTGGTGTCTCGAAGGTAGCTGGGAGTGCTGGTAGCGTAGGGCCTGAGGAGGGAGTCTACATAGCCAGACAATCCTGCTGTCAGGGTGCCAATGCCTGAGATGATGGGGCGCCCAGGATTTCCAGGTTTATGGATCTTGGGTAGTAGATAGAATATCCCAGGTCGGGGTTCCAGGGGTGTGTCTGTGCGGATTTGATCTTGTGCTTTTTCAGGAAGTTTCTTGAGCAAATGCTGTAGTTGCTTTTGGTAACTCTCAGTGGGATCATAGGGTAATGGCTTGTAGAAACTCGTGTTGGAGAGCTGCCGACGCATTATTAACCCCTCCAACGCATTATTAAGGATCTACAACCTATCCTAAAGGATGACCCAACACTCTCACAAGTCTTGGGAGACAGGCCAGTCCTTGCCTACAGACAGCCCCGCAACCTGAAGCAAATACTCACCAACAACCACATACCACACAACAGAACCACTAACCCAGGAACTTATCCTTGCAACAAAGCCCGTTGCCAACTGTGCCCACATATCTATTCAGGGGACACCATCACAGGGCCTAATAACATCAGCCACACTATCAGAGGCTCGTTCACCTGCACATCCACCAATGTGATATATGCCATCATGTGCCAGCAATGCCCCTCTGCCATGTACATTGGTCAAACTGGACAGTCTCTACGTAAAAGAATAAATGGACACAAATCAGATGTCAAGAATTATAACATTCATAAACCAGTCGGAGAACACTTCAATCTCTCTGGTCACGCAATCACAGACATGAAGGTCGCTATCTTAAAACAAAAAAACTTCAAATCCAGACTCCAGCGAGAAACTGCTGAATTGGAATTCATTTGCAAATTGGATACTATTAATTTAGGCTTAAATAGAGACTGGGAGTGGCTAAGTCATTATGCAAGGTAGCCTGTTTCTTCTTGTTTTTTCCTACCCCCCCCCCCCTCCAGATGTTCTGGTTTAACTTGGATTTAAACTTGGAGAGTGGTCAGTTTAGATGAGCTATTACCAGCAGGAGAGTGAGTTTGTGTGTGTATGGGGGTGGGGGGGATGTGAGAAAACCTTGATCTATGCAGGAAATAGCCCGACTTGATTATGCAAAGAGTTGTCACTTTGGATGGGCTAGCACCAGCAGGAGAGTGAATTTGTGTGGGGGGTGGAGGGTGAGAAAACCTGGATTTGTGCTGGAAATGGCCCACCTGTTGATCACTTTAGATAAGCTATTACCAGCAGGACAGTGGGGTGGGAGGAGGTATTGTTTCATATTCTCTGTGTGTATATAAAGTCTGCTGCAGTTTCCACGGTAAACATCTGATGAAGTGAGCTGTAGCTCACGAAAGCTCATGCTCAAATAAATTGGTTAGTCTCTAAGGTGCCACAAGTACTCCTTTTCTTTTTGCGAATACAGACTAACACGGCTGTTCCTCTGAAACCTGTCAAGAATATTTTATGAGCAATTTTGAGAAATGTGACAGTTTAGTTCTTTACAAAAGTTTACACAGATGCCTTTTATATTTTTGATATACATGCTAATATACCCAAACTGAAAAATCTTTCACTACAGTTAAGATGCCTTTTTACACATATTTATAAGTAATAGATTTTAATCCCTTCACTTCAGTTGAAAATCGAATAAGCAACACTTAGGAAAATGTCTGATTTATTTGTGTGTTTGTTGCAGTTACGTTTTTTTAAATGCATAACAAAATGGTATATTAAAGTGCAGGGGTTAAAGAGGCTCTGATGTCTCATGGAAAACATTCTATTTAGGAACAGTTCCACTTAAGTACAATTTTCTGGTGTTCTACCCTCTCTGTTGAATGTTAAAGGCTTTTGCTTAAAGACAGGAATGAAATCCTGGCTTCACTGAAATTAGTGTTAAAACTCCCATTGATTTCAGTGGGGCCAGAATTTCATCTGAGAGCTTATTCCTTAAAAATTAATCTCCTCTTCTTAATTCTTCATTTTAAAATACAATGATCTGTGTGACATCATAATTATAGCAACTAATTGTGATTCACAGACATTCCCTTGGCCTAAATTACTGCGGGTGTAATACATAATTTCACTGGAGTCAGTGGAGTTGTGCCCATTTACGCCAGTAATAATTTTTTAATTAAGGAACATGGGCCTGATAGTGCTTTAGTACCTTCTCCAAAATGAATGCTGAGTGCCCTCAATTTCCAAACAGGAGCAAAGACAGCTTAACAGCTGACAATAGATACTCTACCTCTTGCAGAAATGGAACCCTAGGAAAAGAGGCACAGGAGAACTCCAAAAAGCAACAAAGATCCTGTTTTCATATATCTGTTCCCTTTTAACAACAGAACAAGAGAAATGCAGAATTTAAGTTTTCTGTGAGACATCACCACATCTTTAAGTGGTCTGTTGTCATGCAAAAATAGTGTATTCTTCCGAATTTACATTCATCTTATCGTAGTTTATTTACATATAGATCACAAGTTTGTGCTTTTCACACATGGAAAAGAAATTAACTCAATTTGTTTCATTCTAGAAGAATTATTAAAGAAAAATTACTTTGTTATATGCAGCAAAATCATACCCAAGGCAGTAATGACACTGGACCTTACTGTTGCTGAGATAGTAGCAACTGCACAATGTACTGTAAAAGCATACTTTAGCAGCAAAGGAATTACCACTTCTCTATAATGTACACTATAGAATCAAATATTTCACCCTCAACATTTATTTGCCCTTCAATACTGCATTACTTAATTACACATATTGCCTGTCCTGTAAGGTTAGGACTCAGTGCTGTGTGAGTTCTATCGTGTATCTTCTTTGTTTCTTTGCATCCGATGAAATGAGCTGAAGCTCACGAAAGCTTATGCTCAAATAAATTGGTTAGTCTCTAAGGTGCCACAAGTCCTCCTTTTCTTTTTGCGGTTACAGACTAACACGGCTGCTACTCTGAAACCTTTGTTTCTTTGATGGTTTCTGGGGCAGGAGAGGTATGTTGGCTGTGCAATATACTGAGTGAAGAACATCAGATAGATATATATAACTATGCATTATTCTGTCAAGGGGATTGGGTTTGAAGGTTCACTATGTTTGAATCTGGTTTTCTCATATGAGCACAGGAGGCAACCTTTTTCAGTGGACATAGTATCAGGCCCAAGGAAACTCTTTTTTGACTATATAAAGGGGAAGAGCCTTATTATGAAGGAAAATGATTTGTAGAACTACCTCAACATACTAGTCTGCTCAAGGTAATGCCATCTTTGGGGGACCAGACGGACGGCACGCCACATAGGCCCTATTCTGATCTCACCCTGATTTCACACCAGTGAAACTCCATTGACTTCAGTGGAGTTACTACCTTTTCTTCTCTCTGGTTTGTATCAGAATCAGCCCCTATACCAGGGGTCGGCAACCTATGGCACGCGTGCCAAAGACAGCACGCGAGCCCATTTTTAATGGCACGCTGCTGCCTGCCGGGGTGCCAGCAGGCAGCAGGGTGCCATTAAAAATCCGGCCCTGCCCTGCCCGCTCTTCTCCGCTCCCTGCCCCCTCCCGCAGGGGCAGCGGGCAAGGCGCAGAAGCTTGGTCCTGCCGGCTCCCCTGCCTCTTCCCGCAGTGTGCTGGATCCCTGCCCTTCCTCCTCCTCTCCGTCCCTACCAGCCACTCAGCTGATGGCCCTTGCGAGGGAGGAGCGGAGTCAACCTGCTCGCTGCTCCTGGTGGAGGCAGAGAAGAAGCGGGGGCAGGGCCTTGGGGAAGCGGGGCATATCCCCTCCAGCCCCCTGCCGTGAGCACCCCACGACCCCAGCCCACACCCCCAGCCCTCTGCCCTGACCCCCCCTCACACACACCCAGCCCTCTGCCCTGAGCCCCGCAGCCCCGCACACCCCAAGGCCCCTGCCCTGAGCCCTGTACCCCCCTCACACACATCCAGCCCTCTGCTTGACTCCTTCACCCCCCCCCATGACCCCAGCCCTGACTCGGCACCCCCACACATACCCAGGCCCCCCACACCTCATGCCCTGACACCTGCACCCCCCTCACATGCCCCCAGCCCTCTGCCCTGACTCTTGCACCCCCCACATACCCAGCCTTTCCACACCCCATGCACCCCCCACATCCCCACCCCTACCCTGAGCACCAAATGGGAGCTCTTGCACCTCCCCCCACACACATATTCCCACCTGCACCCCTCCCACCAAATGGGAGCTGCCCAGGTAAGCACTCCACACCCAAACCTCCTGCCCCAACCCTGAGCCCCCTCCCTCATTCTAGCTCCTGGCCAGACCCTACACCCCAACCCCCAGCCTGCTCCTTCACCCCCAGCCCTGTGCTCAGTGCACTCCCACCCTCAGCTCAGTGCAGAGAGAGAGGAAGAGAATGGCCAGAACTAGGGAGAAGGTAAGTAGGGCCGGGACCTCAGACCAGCAGCGGGTTGAGCGGGTCCGGCAGCCGGGACCCCAGCTGACAGGAGCCGGCGGACAGAACCCCTGAGCAGCAGTGGGCTGAGCCGCTCAGCCCACTGCCGGTCTGGGGTTCTGGCTGCCGGCCCCTTGCCAGCCAGGGTCCTGGCCGCAGGCCCCGCTCAACCCACTGCCGGCCTAGGTGAACGGAACCCCAGACCAGCAGCGGGCTGAGCGGGTCGGCGGCGTAAGATCAACATTTTAATTTCATTTTTAAATGAAGCTTCTTAAACATTTTGAAAACCTTGTTTATTTTACAATACAACAATAGTTTAGTTATATAATATATAGAGAGAGACCTTCTAAAAAACATTAAAATGTATTACTGGCATGTGAAACCTTAAATTAAAGTGAATAAATGAAGACTCAGCACACCACTTCTGAAAGGTTGCCGACCCCTGCCCTATACCTTCAAGTGATAAGATTAAAATACTTATTTTTAAGCCACCCAGAGTGGAAATGCTTTAGGAGAAGACCAGTACATACTATCATTTCTTTGATAGCACTTGAGTTTTGAAGGGGAATTCTCAAATAAGACAAAGATACATAACACACTGTGTAAATTATTACCCTGAGATACTATAAAGAGGTCGTAGGGGAACTCAAACCTAACGAACACTGGGATTTTCCTTGCAGTGGCTACAATAAATATTTTCACTTAAGGAAAAAACAAAGCATGCAAAAGGAAGACAGGTGTGCCAGATGTCTGAAGGAAAGCATATTAGTGCTTATGTTAAAGAACATATTTAGGCACATTCATTTGAGGTTTTTTATCCCTTCTAACGTTTCCGAGGTTATTGAGCTAAGAATGATCTGCAGAGGAAGTTCTAATTACACAAGATAAAATGACTGGAGGGTGGGGGTGGCTTTATTTCATGTACCAAGGGTTTCCCCCAAGATTTAAAAATTTACACACTTTCAGGATATGGCTGTAAAAAAATGTTCATTTGAGCCAATTCTTTCCAAATTTTACATCACCTTGGTGTGGTCATGTACATATTGTCTTCCTACTCCCACCCCCTCTAGTATTAAAGTTAACAAGCATGTAAGCCATAAGTAAATTCAAATAAGGATCCTCAATATTTATACAAAATTAGATATCAGTTGTCTGGACAGGTCAGGTGGACTGAATCACTTTAGAGGAAAAGGAAAGTAAATTAAATTCATGCTGTAGAGAAAGGTCAGTGGAAAATAGCTTCTTTTTTACACATCTGTTTATTTAAGGAACTAGTTACTAGTTCCTAAAGTAGATCATATTTGCTTAAAGGAGAAAAAAGGTATCGCACCTGATGCTTTGCACTGTGGATAATCATTTATATCGGTGTAACATGAGTGTAAAACACTACCGGATTACAATGGTTGTGTTTTACACCAATTTTGTACTGATAGAAATGACTATACAAGATGCAGGGCAATGAAGAATCAGGCCCATAGAATGCACATTTGATAAATCAGATAAACACGTGCTGTACAAGTGAGATTATGTAACAGATGCAGTCGCCTGTGTAGTTTTAGCTGTTTGCTCTGAAATCTCTTTAATAGAACAGACTCTGCATAAAACTAGCTCATTAGTTCAATTATTTCATTTCTTTTAAAGCATGCAATGGAATTTCGGAAGGAAGGTATATGACAATTTAGATTAATAATTTAATTTAGGCTTTTTAGTATGAAAAGTAATGATGGACTTGTCTCAGACAGAAAAATAAGTTCATATTTACTGCCCTAGCAAACCAGGTCATCTAGCAGCCCCATGCAAGTGTGTGGATTGGCGTAACTAATAGCAGTTATTAAAAAAAATAATTTAGGACCCTGTTCAGCTGGAAGAAGCCACCAAGGCTGTTGGCTCATGGAGTGTCCTCAGGTTCCTTGAATGGTGTAAGCCTGCAGCTTTTAACACCATGCAGTTTGAGCATGTAGTTCCAGAGTCTGCTCCTATTCCACTGGGGAGATATTGCCTTTCTAGTGGCTTCCCCTTTGCCACAGTGAAGGCTAAGGCTTTATCTAGACCAACGGCTTTATATGGTAATTGGGATCATGGAATTGTATTAGAGCTCTGCAAATGTCCAAAATATAGGGAAGGTCCTTCTTTGATAGATCTTGATTCAGTCAGTGACAAATGTTAAAGTGGTTGTAGCACAAAGATCAATCTTTCCCTAGCTGAAAGCTCAATTTCCAAGACTCATCAGAAAGAAAAAGAAAGAAACCTGTGCCCCTCCCACTAGGGTTACCACTTTTGAAATGCAAAAAAACCCAGTGCCTTCCCCCCACTACCACCCACCAAGCCTGCTGCAACCCCAACCATAAGGTAACTCTGCAACCCTCCTCCCCTTCAAACAGCCACCTATAATATCTAGAGAGAAAACTGGGGTTTTCTCCATTTTCTTCCATTTTGGCCAGGACAGTCTCTTTTTTAAGCCCTGTCCTGACCGTCCTGACTTTTTTTTTTTTTTTTTTTTTTTGCGCGAAAGTGGGCATTTGTCCTGTTTGTTCTTGCCAACTTAATCAGTTGGCAAGAGCAATCAGGACAAATGCCCACTTTTGCAGAAAAGCGGGTTGCGATGTGGAGGACCATGCGGTGGAGGCGAGTAGAGATGCCAGCCACGTGCAAGGGGGAGGTAGAGTTGGGGAGGGGGAAGGGAAGCATTCCAGCATGCAGGGATCCGGGAGGGTTCCAGCAACCGGGCAACAACCTTGTGGAGGGGGCAGGGTTCAGGTGACCAGCAACAGCCTTGCATGGGGAGAGAAGGGGGGAGTGGCAGGGTTCCAGTGACCGGCATCGGCCTCGTGCCAGGAGGGGCGGCAGCTCGAGTAAGCGGCTGGGGGTGTCCCATTTTCCCCTTGGGAAATATGGTCACCCTAAAGATAACACATGATACTATCACTCTCGCATGACTCAAGCCCTCTCTCACACACATGCGTGCTGCGCTTGCCTGTTGGTGGGCAGACAGCTACTGTATTTTCAAACACTTTTGAGCAGTTATCGCTTAAACTGCAGAAGTGGGAACACCGCAGCATCTTTAACTGGACACCGACTTTTGACATTAGATATCCAAGTGTATTATGATAATAATGCAAATCCTTAGGCCCACATTAAAAAAACAACCTGGCAGACTAAAGAATTTTTCTGGTAAATCCATAAAAAAACTGGCCAGGCCGGTCAAATACCAGCCAGGTGGTAACCTTACCTCCCACCATGCCATCTCACCATGGTGGTGGGAAGGAAAACCGTCAAGGAAGCTTCCCCCTCAGCAACATGGGTACTCAGGAGTAACACTCCAGCAACACAAGGGAGGCCCTTTACCATTGCGCTACAGCAATGGGGATATGATGCCGTCATTTCTAGCAAGTAAATTTGTTTTACTGAACACTGTTCACAATTATGGTTCATACACTGAGCCAGAGCTCCATTCCTCTGCCTGCAGCTGTGCCAGGGCATTAATCCGGCTGGACTGCATAGCACTAGCATCATGTGAAGCAATAAATTAAGAATCAGGAGTGTATAGGATGGTGAGGGCTCATTTACACTAGTTCTGCTCCTCTTGTGAAGCTTTTTATTTTGTAGCTCCCACAGAAAGCTGACCCTTATGAGTAGATCAGTCTGCCACAGAGCCACCAATGCGTCCACATTCTTCCCAGCTTGTGCGTTTGTGAGCCCATGGGCATACTGTGCTGAGTCAGCATCTCAAGGAAGATCTATCTGCCATGCTATAAACTGAGTTCAGATGCATTGAAAAAAAGGAATACAGGGAATTGCATAACTTCCTAAAATATTTTTGCAATTACGAAGTGGTATTAATCTGGCTTTTTCCATTACGCCTAATATGCTGATGGGCATATTGCATACAAATGAAATCAGGAAATTTATTCCTTGTTCTCTGTTAGTCAGGTCTTTGATGATTACATAAAGTCAATGGAATTTATGTCTTGCAGAGTATAAAAGCTGTCACTTAAAAAAAACAAAACAAAACGACCAAAGATCTAACTTGAAGTTCTAGGTTAGGGAAAACAGATTTAGTTATGATTTTAATTATCAGCCTTTGAATGTTTGAGGTAGACCACAATATTGAATTATCCAGGATTTTAGTCATAATCTATAATGTTATATACAATCATATCAACAGATATATCACATACCTTTTTCCTGATGTGTAATCAATACTGTTTGGGGGCATTAATAATAATGTAACCTTCCATGATATACTTTAAGATGTGCTGGAATTTATGTATCTTTATATGGCTATGTAGCGTAGTTTTCAGTAGTCTCCTATAGCGTACTACAGCTGATGAAAAAGGAAATTTACTGTTATATCAGTGATGAGGCCTTGGAACAACAAAAGGTTCAGACATAAGGGCAGATGCTTGTTCATTTCAACTGTGTCATTCTGGCTCTGTACTTTTGAGTATGTACTTTAATATTGCTACAAAGTACATTATTCAGAAGAATTTTCCTGCCGCTTCACATGGAGACATTTGAATAAAGCTCTTCTATTTGTTTTTTGAAGTAATCTCTTAGCTCTCGTCTCCTAGCCTTTAGCGTTGGTGTCAGCAAGCCATTTTGTACTGAGAATAGATCAGAGTGGATGTAAATGGCTTTGACCTGAAATAGAAAATAAATATATTTATGGCAAGACTAAACTAACATCATCCACTATTAATAATTAGTACTAATCAAAACTCCTGAAATCATAACGATCCTGCTTAGGTTATCAGCAAAAATGACTTTGCTGGGTCCATCTTCAGTCCTACTAGTTGTCTGTCCATATCACAAAGCATCCACACACTCTGCTTGTTTAACAGAATTCTCAGGACGGATATAATATTTGTGTTGCAGGTTGCAATTAAGAAGTACTAACAGAGTGGCATGATGAAGTGTGAACACCACCTGTCCATACTATGGCTGTATCTCACCACTTCTCAATCAGTCCTTCATACTTTTATTAGCATCATCTTCTCCCTGCACCGTAAACCTTTGTCCACATGCTCCCCACAAAATATTGCCCCTGTCCCTAAAATAAATATGCATTCAGTCTGCTGTGCTCTTGTTCCACTGCATGGTATGCAAAGGAGCGTATCCCCAAAAAACTCAGAGTGGCTCAAGCAGAGGGGAAATGTGGCTATATGTGATTTTGCCCCATCCACAATATTTCCACATAGCTGAAGAGTCACAGAAGACAGGAGGGTGTCACAGAGTCAGGAGGAGGAGAAATCATACTAAGGGGCATGATCTTTCTGAAGCATGGATTTAAATCTGCCCCAAAACACTAAACAGCACTGACTCAGCCTTGCAAAGCTGTCATGAAGCTTTACTAGCCAGCATAAAAGTCTTCTGATCCAAAGTTAACATGATAATGATCATGCAAAAAAAGAATGGTGTTTTAGTGATCAGTTACAGTGATAAAAATCACTCATCCCAGGCAAAGAGAATTTTACAAGGCTGCCCTTACTAATCCACGGCGTCTGAGCACAGCAGGAAGCTTGGTGGCACAAATGGGGGTGGGTTGTGTTTCCACTCTATTTATGGTGGTGCTGGTGGTGGGAGACAGTAGAAAACTATTCTGTATGGCTGGCCACAATCTACATCGTTCAGACAGGACTCCTTAGCCATATTCTCCTTTTTTTGTCCGTCACCAATCCTCTTCACATTTGGACAGACTAGGAGTTGTAGGAAATGTGGTTTAAGAATGACCTTTTTATTCCATTAAATTCTGTGGCTCTCTTTTCCTTGTGTGCATTTTATTCCAGGGGCAAAATGTAGGGACCACAAATAATTTCTTTATATACTGTGGCCAAGTGACTTTTAAAAGGGACTAATGATTTTGAGTTCTGTAATTTTTGGGTGCTTAACTTGAGACGCACTAAGGGGGCATGATTTTGGAACACCCATCCTCTAAACTGTCTCCGAGTTGAGCACTCAAAAACTGCAGCACCTTTTGAAAGTCGTGACTTATATGTAGTTATAAAAAAAATCTTTACATAAAAGAACAACATAGTGGTACAGCAATTATTTTTAAAGTTCTTAAAATGGTAAACTTTGTGCATTAATGTTATAGCTAGTTAAAAGATTATGAAAGAGTCTGATTAAAATTACATGACCCCTCAAACTAACACTGTCCTGCCTAAATTCAAGAAAAGAGTTAGAGGAAAATTGGACTGGGTGGCAAAGGGTTCTGCAGTACAGCATAAGATATAGTCCCACACCAAAGGGAAGAGTTTCTGGTAAATTCACATACCACTTGTGACTGTCTTCTTTTAATAAAAAAAAAAAATCCCTATGACAGACATCCAGAATATATTGGCCTGGATCTACTAAAAATCTCCAAAGGATTTTTATATATCAGAAATTCAGGTCTTTTCTGCTCAGAAGGCTTACTGGAGAACTAGTGAAATGGTGACATCACAAGACTCAAGGTAGTGAAAGTGGAGCAATTGTGAGGGGAATGGATTTTTAATTAGACTTGTTTAAAAACTCTTGGGTTTGCTTGTTTTAGTTAATGCCTATTTAAGCGGTCATTAGACCAGAGAGTGAGAATGACTCTATAGTCTAGTGGTTAGAGCACTCACCTGGGAGGTGTGAGACCGAAGGTCATGTCTAATTATTTATACTCAGTGGAATAGCTTAAATAGGAGAGTCTGAGAAAGACCTGCCCCAGAACATCCCACTGCCCAATGACTGGAGTAATCTCCGAGACCCAAATTTAAATCCCTTCTCCACACTAGGCAGAGGGGTCAAATAGTGAATAGTTTTGGGTTGATTGAAACTACATTTTTTGGCAAATAAACTACTTGTCTGAAAAATTTCACACAACTCCATCTATGGGAAAGGTGGACCTGTGCAGTGGGACATCTCTGTATGGTCCATACTGGTGAGATAATCTGGCCCAATGTTAGGTCATAACAATCACATACTGCTCTACACATGAGGCTCTACACAATAGACCCTTGTTTTTGAACTGCAATACATTCAGGTACTGTATTTCCATCTCATATGGTTTCTTTCTATATTTTTTAGCATTGCAGCAGAGTTCATCTCATAACCTCACAGTTTATTTAATGCATGTCAGTAGAAATGTTGTGTTAAGGGTATTCATAGTGTGAAGATTAGGGCAGGAACAACCCAGGTAATTACTAGACAGCCAATTTCATGTATTATGATCCATGCTCCATGTGGAATTTCTTTTATCAGTTATGGAACTGTCAGAAAAATGGAGACAAAGAGATTTAAGGTTTCAGGAGCTTCTGCAAACTCTTTAACACAATGGATTTTCACTGGACTTCTCAAGCAAAAACAGACAAATAAATGAAGCGTACTAGTGATATTTAAATAATGTCTTAGATATTCACTTTTATATTAATATTTTAATAACAGATATGCAATAAAACATTAACTTTTAAAGAAACATTTGATGTTAGCCTTTTTATGTGTTTTGATCTATATTATTGCTACCATGAAATACTGCATCAGTTTCAGAATTTTCCTGTTTGAACGTTTGTAAGTCTGTTGCACAAAATATTTAGGCAAGCCTTAGAAAAGGATTAGTGCATGCACTGAAAATAAACAGAGCAGCTGTATTTTCTAGGTCAGTTACATGAATGGTACTGTACACCTGATCCTACTTTGCAACATTGCTTTCAATGGGAGTAGGATCAGGCTCCTAAAAATACTGTTCTTGACCTCTGGTGATTATATCAGGGATTATATAGGGCCTGCTCTTGTATTCCCTATGCACCCATAACTCCCACTGAATCTACTCTGACTCCTACTGTGTGCAGAAAACAGGATCAGGGACTATAGTCCTTATTTAATCAAAAATGACAAAAATAATTTGTCAGTGGCATAGTGGTGCTTTCACAAAATTCCTGCATAGAACCATCAAAATAATAATGAGGCTTTTATTACTGTGGACCTTTGTGGCAATATTCATGCATTCTTAGGGGCTAAAGAGTTTAAGAAATACACAAATGCAAGCTATAATTACTTACAGACACAACATAATCTGACATTTAGGCTTTATATGATGCATACTAACAACTGCCTATTCATCATAAAGGGTCAAGTTTTCTGACCATAGGGAATAATGTTATCATACCTGCTCAAAAGAATGAAGTCCACCCTCCTTCCCTAGCCGCACCATATCTTCCATTATTGCTTGTGTCAGCTCCTGGGTTAGAACACATAGTTTTCCATTAGCCTTCAAGAGACATCTTTACATCCAATGATATTATTCAGCAGGAAAATAAAGTTTACTGATCAAAGCACAAATACACTGTTGATTCTGGCAGTTCATACATTAATTAGCAAATGTTGCTTTAAAAGAAATTTCTTTATAAATAGAAAACATATGAATGCTTTATAAATAAATAATGTGATAATATTTTTATACAGCAGAAAATGTAAGGCTAACGTTTTCAAACTTTGGTTGAGGATAGACATTTAAAGCCTTAATCCTTCAAACTCTTAAGTGCCCGAATAGTCCCATTGACTTCAGTGGTATTCATGTGCTTTTAAAGTTAAGTGTGTGTGTAAATGGATTGTGGCTTAAATCATCTATGTTTCATGACTCTAGTTGGTGCTCAATACTTCTTAAAAACCATTCTGCTTATTAAGGTGCCTAAATATGAATATAAGTGCCTCACTTTAGCCACCAACGTAGAATATTTTCACTTAAAAACTTTGCATCTTGCCATTATTTATAACAACTACTTTGAATTTTTTAGCTGAGTTAAACATTAATAGGAAAGAAGTGTTACCTTTCATACGAGTCTAAAAAGAGATTGCATAAAAAAGAACCGTATGATATGTATTCACAGAAACATTCAGAAGAATGGTCATAATGACACAGACAAATGATCCATCTAGTTCAGTATTCTGTCTATGACAGCAGGTGATGCTCAGTGCTTGAGGGGAAAAAAGTGGAATATGCAGGTGTAAGATCACTGAAGACCTTGTCTTCTTACATATTTGGAAAGTGCCATTAGTAGTGCTACTAAATAAGAACGATGTTAAGGAGCTTAAGGGCTTGGTTTGCCTATTCTCTTTTATGTGAGCATACCTTTATTTCAGTGCTATCGTTTCCTAGTGCTGCATCTTACAGATCACTGTTAATTAAACGCACACACATATGTATTTTTAAGGACACACCGTATTTTTACAGAGCTCTGCATATGTTCCCTCAAACCCTCTTTTCTTTGCCCAGCCTGGCATGACTTCAGAATCAGGTACAACAATTCCCACCAAGAAGGCCTGCATCAGAAAAAAAAAAAATGTATCAGCTGAGGAAAGAACCATATTTAAAATATAATATTCCAGGACATAAATAATCTTAGTTTGCCGGGTTTAATCATTTCAATGCAGCACTGTATTTGGCTAAATTTCATGATGAAGTATTTATGATGAACATTTCTTCTCCTCAGATAAAAGAGCCCTAAAGTGACAGTTAATATATTTGCCAGAAAAAATATAATACATTGTTAGCTTCAGTGCAGAGTAGAATTCAAATTGCAGAATCTGAGCCAAAGTTACTTTGCTTTTACGCTGGTGTAAGTGAGAGCAGAACTTGGTCCATTTTGTTTATTACTATTCCATTCATGGATCTCTGACCATCCAGGGAAATCATATTGATGTCAAAGAGAAATATGTATTTGGCTCAAGGGCATGATCGGTGGGTAAAGGTTAGTTGTTACAGTGTCTGAAATTTGTACCTGTTGGTATGTAAAAACACCAGCCGTTGCATATGTAAACCGGATGCTTACACACGCAGCTATCTCCAATGTGTGCACAAAAGCAAGTTTTTCCACGCACAAAGCTTTAGTGAGCAGAATTTTGTGGGCAGAATTTCAGAAGCCCCTTTTGAAAACATGCCCCTAACTATTCTGTTTTAATACAGAGAATAGTTCTGCCCACCTGCATAAGCACTTGGCAGACAGATCTCTCACATGCAGGTACTACGCAGGACTTAAGTGATGAAGGGTCCTGCACTTGTGAATTAAAGTGCAGCTCTAGCATGTGCTCTGCTGTCCTCTATTTCTAAAAGTTGATGCCAGTAGGCTCAGCACCCCAGCAGCCTGACCTTTGTCAAGTTATTTGTAGGCCTCATGGCACAGGAGAGTTTTAAGGAGGGATTTGAAGGAGGAAAATGAGGTAGCTTTAGAGGCTAGATTGTCGCCCATTCCCCAAGCTGTGTATAGTCATTCGAGTGGTTGGGGGCCTAACTAGCTTTGAACCCATTCCAGAGTTGGGGAGGAGGATGGTGAGGGATAGAAAGGTCACCTTTACTGACCCCTTGGTGCCAGGTGCAGAACCTGTCAAGCAGAGGGTCTGGCTCTAAAATTATTTTGAAGTGTTACATTTTACCTGTAAACTGTCTCCATGCACATATATCTGGGCAATAGGCTCACTGCGGATGTAGATATTCTCAATCTTTTCAGGTGCAATATATTCTCCCTGAGCAAGTTTAAATATATGCTTTTTCCGATCAATAATTTTAAGTGTCCCATTCTGTTAGGAAAGAGAGATAATGGTTACCAAAATGGTTATTTGAATATACAGGCCCAGTAAACAATGTATTTTTTGCACTTGACTCTACATTTCATTAAAAAGCTAACAATAAAACTGGGAGGAGGTGCACAATCCCCTGTCTACCAGCAAGACTGGACCATCCAGGCAGAGCAAAGATCAGAGCAAGAGTGTCTGAACCCAGGAAACTGGCTCTGCTATGGGTTTATTGGTGGTGAACTGCCCAGCAGAAAAGGTTGAATTTAATCAGTCTTCCAGCCCTCACTTGGAAAAGAGATTTTCAGGATCAGGAGGACATTTTTGATAAATATAGTCTCTTAAACACAGGTTGTATTTTCAGCCCATCAGCCATGATGGAGTCTTTTTAAGGGTACGTCCAAACTTCCATTATAAACTCAACCGTCATCACACAGGGAAGGAAAGTGCTATTCTGGTAGTCAGAACTGTTTAAAAATACCAAAAAATACTTCATGACCACATTTGTCATTTTGTCCCAGGCCATCATGCTGCCCAGAAATTTTGCTTTTTGTGACATTTCTGCCAAATGCCCATTTATACATTGAAACCAGCAAGTTTTTGATATACATTGTCTTTCTTCTGAAAGACAGAAGAAAATAAGAAATTTCATTGGGGCGGAGAAAAGAAAGTCTTTTCTCCCCTCACTTTTCAGTCTGAAAAAGTGCTCTGTGCGCCTGCATTTATATGCAGGGTCCAGAATAATGGTGTTTAAAGAACTCAAAAGATAATGAAAATGCTTTGGTATTCAGAAGTTTCCCAGTTTTGTTTTGAGTTTGTCCTCCCACCTCTTGTTCTGGATAGGATACTTTTTTCACCTGATAATTTTTAAAAATTATTCTTTAGTGCAGATGTTGCTGTTTAGACAGAGTCTTTATCAAATACTATTAGAATTTAAATATGAAAAAAAATCGCAGAAAGCAGTAACTTTATTTTCAACAGTGCTGAGAACCTGCCGTTCTCATGGACTTGAATGGTATTTGAGAGCATTCAGTACTTCTAAAAAAAAAAAAAATCAAGCTGTTTGGTCTTTAAACAAGTGAGTTGATTTCAGAATGCCACTGTAGAGGTGGCTCGATTTCAGAAGCAGTTGAACTGACCTCTGTCAAGCAGAGGGTAGATTGTCATCTCTACCAAAGTGTCATCTCTTCCAAAGATTAATTAAAGATGGAGTGATTGGCTTTGGATATTAAAATAGCCTCTGGGGAGAGGCAAATCTGCTTGATACCTTACATGAACTAATGAGATATCACAGAAACTTTTCTTTATGCTTTGCTTAAAACCTGGAATGCTGAGGCCTGAAGCAGACCTGTAACTGGGGCCCAGGTGCATGGACTTGACTCTGAGGACGCACCAACTCCTGGTGATTGACAAAGGGTTATTCCACAAAAAACTGTCAGACAAAGATTTGCTTGAAAATACAAGAGTACTACCTTAGAATTTACATAGGAATATACAATTTACAAAAGAACTGAGAATCTGATCAGTACATACAGGTAACCATTTCCCAATGTCTCCAGTATGAAGCCAGCCTTCTTTATCCAGCGCTTCAGCTGTCTTCTCGTCATCTTTTAGATAACCTTTGAAAACATTGGGTCCTTTCACACATATCTGCAAAAGAGACCTGGTTGCTGACAAAGTCTCACGCTTTTGTATGGAATTGTGTGGATTCTTTCCCATATGAGTGCTCCAACAAAATAAAATATTTCAAATTATGCTACCACTCACCCTATTTTTTAAACTAATGTAGGTGTAAAGCGGGAAAACAAGAATGTGCAGAACTGCAGTCTATTTGTGTACGAAATTTTCTGGACTTTTCTTGTTTGTTTTTCTCAGCCCCAAAATTGTCTTTTGACAATATTTCATGAGAACAGAAAAACTGACTGCAAATGCATGTGATATCACAACCTTCCTCATATTTTTTACAAAGACAACAATTTTGCTGAAAAATGTGATCATTGTTACTAAAAATGAACTAGCTTTAGTGCTAAAAGAAAAGGAGTACTTGTGGCACCTTAGAGACTAACCAATTTATTTGAGCATGAGCTTTCGCTGTAGCTCACGAAAGCTCATGCTCAGATAAATTGGTTAGTCTCTAAGGTGCTACAAGTACTCCTTTTCTTTTTGCAAATACAGACTAACACAGCTGTTACTCTGAAACCTAGCTTTAGTGCTGATATTTTGCACTAAAAATTGGTCCATATTTTGCATTTACAGTGAAATAGGAAAACACTTAGATTTTGAACATTTTGAATGTTGTTGTGAACATTTTGCTCACCTCTAGTTAAAACCTAAATGCACTAGCAAGAATAAAGTGTCAAAGCTTTCAGGGTAAGCTGTGAACATAATTAGGGAGTATAGAGTACTCTGTGGTGAATCATATCACTGCACGCTGTACATCCAGATGCTGGATGAAATCTTGGCCCCACTGAAGTCAATGGGAGTATTACCATTCACTTCAGTGGGGATGGGATTTCACCCACCAAGTTTGTGAGCTAAACTGTACATATGGGGCATTGGGAACAGAACTTAGGACTTGTCCTAAAATATGAACCCTTTACCTCTGGAGCCTAAGGAGTCCTCATTAGCTGAAGAGTTTTCATGAGCATTAAAAGTATTAACGGGTTTATTCTTTGTGAGACTCCAGCTGCTAATTTAGGCCTCAGTCCTGCATTGGGATCCACTAGGACAACTGCATATGACTGCAAAGAGTCCTGCTACAAATCAGTGGGACTCTGCAAGGGTGCAAGGATCCATGCTACCAGATCCCCATTCTATGGTATTAAGCACTCACCAGTAAATTGCAGTGTGCTGGGATTTTGTTGCTGAAGGAAAACTACAAATGCAGAACTCTGGGATAATACGAAATTACACTATTTCTCTTTAACGTAGCCTGCGTGATATTATAGGTTATGAAATGGGCTGACAACCATTGACATTAAAGGGAAAATTTAAATATAATCCTCAGCTTTGATTTTATTCTGTGAATCAATGGCCTTTCATTGAATTTGAAAATATAAATGGAAAAAAGAAAAATAGTTATGTTAAAAAGTAAATAAATTAGTTCCAGTGCAGTATAAAAATAACTAAGCTTGATCCCACAAAGTCCTGCGTGCCTATTGCAAGCTGCTGAAAGCCCTCAGTGGGACAGGATAGCAGTCAGTATCTACCAGGACCAGAACCTAGGCCTTGATTCAACAAGCCATCCCTATTCTGCAAACTACATAAGCATATGCTTAACTTTAATGGGACTTAAACACATACTTAAAGTGAAGCATGAGGTTAAATGCTTTGCTGAATTGGGACCTTAAACATGTAGAGCCAAGTCTTACAATCCTAATGCTGTTCTTACTCAGAGGAAAGTCCTATTGACTTCATTGTTTATTTCAATAAAAGTTTTCACTGTACTAGGGATGCATGAGGACTGGATGAGTTGATCCTTATACACCGAGGCCCTAATCTTGTGAAGGGCTCCACTTAGGTGAACCCTTATGCCTCTATGGGATCCCATTGGAGTCAATGGGATTCTGTGTGAGTGTAAGGGTCTGCCTGTGTGAAACCCTCAGCCCCTTCAAAAATAATTAGCTGTAGCACTTGCTGGAGGTTCTGTAATACCCTTGTATTTGTAATTAACATTATGATGCTCTACTGCTGCCTGACCTGTTCATCTGTTCTGCTTTTTTCCTTTCATTTCTCAACTGGAGTATAGAACACATCTATGACAAGGGGCACTTAAAAAGGATTCTCAGATACAAGTAGTAACAAATGGCTCACAGATTTTTTATGACAGCCTGCCTCAAAGAATTAACTACAGAGGAGCTGTATATAATGTTTGAGATGATACCTCTCCTTCTCCTTTCAAAGCAAAATAATTCATCTCTTCCACATCCATCAGTTTGATTAAATTGCAGGGCAGAGGAGCTCCTACGTGACCTGCAAATTAAAGTTATTTGTCATTTCTTTCTAAAAATGGCACTCATTAGATTATTATTAGCACATCACCCATTTCTAGCTGAACTTCCTGAAGTTCAGTGTTCTTGAAGCATATGTGTCTGTGTGCAGAATCCTTTAACCTGTCTGGATAGGATTCCTATTTTTCAGTGTAACAATACAGGACCCTTTTGCCTTACCATCTTCCTCTGACCAACAGGAAATTAAATCAACCCCTCTTTTAAAGACTTAACTCAGAGTAACTTGTTAATAACAGAGCCCAAAGTTCTGTTTTGTGCATCATCTAGAAAAGTCAAAGGCTTTGAGTTACAATGGCTTTAAATTCAACCTTTTTCCAATTTCTCCAAAGTAAACTATAACGGCTTAAGCTACTCTAAATTATGCTAGCTGTCAATGACCAAAATGGAATGTTCTGGAAGACAAAGATCATAGGAGACAAAGGTGTTCTGGCCCACCCCAAAGAATGGTCACTCTGAAGGGCAAGGTACACTGGTTCTCTGCCACCCAGGGTTTTGTCCACAATAGGGGACTCCTTCACAGATATGCCCAGGTTTAAGTCTGCTTAGGACCAGCAGATTTAACAAAGTGAGAATCCAGTCCTTAATATATATTTGTGAATGTGTGTTCAGTAATTATGTGCTGGGTAGGGCACCAAAATGAAGACAGTGTGAGACAAACATAGTGAAAGTATAACTGGAAAAATTTATTATGTCAGTACATCTCATAACAGGTAATTGGCCTTTTCTGCTGTGTAGAAAACAAGCTGATATACAGCAATCTGTACTGGAAATCATATTGTGTGCTCTACTCCAATCACTGAAAATTAGTGTTGAAAAGGGAGGTTTTTAGATTATTAATGGGACTAATAAACTATGTCCAATTGTTGTGCAGGTATTCATTTGAATGAATTTGATCATACCTGTTCCAAAGCCATTCTATAAATATTAATAATTAATACTGCAGTACTCTTATTATTTAAGATTTGCTGAACACTGACTACATGCTGGGTGCTGATTGAAGTTTTCATCTGATTATATTAACCATCATAAGATCCCAAAGGTTTGAAAGTGTAATAGCCTAGAATCCTTAGACCAGACTAACCGTAAACCTCTAAGCATCCTCTTTTTCCCCCCATTATCTGGCATTGGATCTGTGCTCAAAGCCTGATTTTGGTGACAAGTGAATATGAATTTGTTAGCCTAATCTTTGTTCCAGTATTACATCTAACAAACACAATTCAATAGCACTAGTAGTCTCTGCCCAAGGCAGGCCCGAAGTGGAAAGGACAGGGGATTTTTGCAGATCAAGACCAAGGCATAGTTCTAGATCTCTCTAGCAAAACTTGCAGAGCATCTGATCAAATTCTACCTTTCTTTGGCTAGTGCTATTAATACCTCACTTTCATAAATACTGAATTCACCCAAATTACTCAGCACAATGATAAAGTGTTGAATAGTATCCTATAGGTATTACAGCCCCCTAAAAGTGTTCCAAATACACTAACACAGGGGTTCTCAAACTGGTGGTCAGGACCTCTCAGAGGGTTGCAAGGTTATTATATGGGGGGTCACAAGTTGTCAGCCCCCACCCCAAACCCCGCTTTGCCTCCAGCATTTATAATGGTGTTAAATATATAAAAAAGTGTTTTTAATTTATAAGAGGGGGGTCACACTCAGAGGCTTGCTATGTGTAAGGGGTCATCTGTACAAAAGTCTGAGAACCCCTACACTAACAATTCTGTCCTTTCTTTGGAGAGACTGTCATTTTTACCTGAAGTCCAGTCACCTGGAGTGGTAAAGGTACATCCTGCTGTGCACTCTGTTTGACCGTAACCTTCATAAATCTGACAAAGAGATATATAGCTTTGAGTCTGTCGACAGATTAATACTTACATATGATTTGAACATTGTTCAGTTTCCTTCTTGTTGCACAATGCTGTGAATGTGAACCACAATGCAGTATGTTGATTAGAGAGACAAGCTGGGTGAGATAATATTTAGATATTACCTCCTCTCCCACCTGTCACTCTAATATCCTGGGAGCGACGTGGCTACAACTACACTATATACAGTGTACGGACTGATAAGGAAAGTTGCTCTGGTCTTCATTGTATGGGAAACATTGTTAGGAATTATTCTGAATGAACATCACTGTAAGAATCTGAAAATAGTGGGAAGAGAGGACAGTTGTACTGATAGCAGTTGCTTGAATAAAGTAGTATGTACCTCTGTGAGAGAAACCAGATTCTTTGCACTAATATGAAATACAGTTTTGAAGACTGTCTTTTTGGAAACTTTCTTCTGGCAAGCTTCAGGCATCTGAGAAGGGTAGGGCTTGTTTGCCACTTCCTTCTAAAGGCCACTTGCTTTGCTAACCACCCGAGCAGAATTCTAGTACCATGCAAGCTATGTGTTCTCAGACTCCTTGGATTCTGCAGTAAGTGGTTTGGCCCACACCTTCTTCCCAGGACACTAGACAGGTCCCTTCAGTATGTGTCTGGTTTTCAGTGCCCTAGGAAATAGGCATCTCCAAAGTATTATGCTAGTTCTTAATCAGTGTGACTTTTGAAAATTGACAAGTTCCACCATCTTATTGCCGCTGATCTTCCCCCCCCCCCAGATATGGATGCAAACCTTAGATCCAAATATTCCTGAATTTGCTTCCAGATCCGAACTTTGTCATTGGCTGTCTCTCGCTATAAAGAACTGAAAGTCTTGGATCCAAAATCCTCTCAACTTTGGGAGAGTTTGGAGCCGTGTCTGACCTATGTGGTTGGAGCCCATTCTTACTATTTATATCTTTGACCATCAGAAAAATACAATTTCTATTGTGGTTTGTGTTGGTAAATGTTATTTTAAATATACGTTTCCCTTGATTTCTTAACAACTTGAAGAGCTAGTACAACAGTGCGTCTGAATAACTGTATAGGTGAAGTGTACCTGACATCCAAGTGCTGCCCGAAGGAACCCCAGAACAGTTGGAGAAGCAGGGGCAGCTCCCGTTATAATCATCCTAACACACCCACCAAGGCTTGCCTGTTAGATAATAAGAGAAAATAAAACTCTTAGCCTCCCATATGAGCATACACCTTCAGTCAAATATTGAAAGAAAAAGCACTAACTGCATATAACTGAAGTACCCCAAAAGAAACAACCCTTCTGACACGGAATATTATAATCACCACCATAGTGCCTAGGAGCCACATCATGGACCAGGAACCCATTGTACTAAACATTGTACAAACAGAACAAAAAGTCCATGTGCTTTGGCTCGTTGCTGTTCATATAAAGAATGGGGATTCCATAGTTTTCCTCAAGATTATTACAGTCTTAGATTCCAGTCCTGCAATTGACTCTGCAAGGGCAGACCTTTCTGCCCAAATAGAGCCCCTTCGAAGTCAACACTGCCTGGCACAGATGCAAGGGTGTGTCTGCATAGAATCATAGAAATGTAGGGCTGGAAGGGACCTCAAGAAGTCATCTAGTCCATCCTTCTGTGCTGAGGCAGGCATGAATCCATCTGGCTCTATATGACTTCATGGTTAGGACCAAAAAAAAAAAACAAAACCCCACCCTAATGTACTGCCTCCATTCTTTTTTTGCTCATTTTCATCCCATTGTTTTGGTAATTCCTCCCTGAACAACCCAAACAATTCTGCCTGCTTTTTAATGTTGATGTCCTTCAAGTATGTGTAGTGTAGATGATATCACATCAACCCCTTTGTCACTTTTGAGCTATGCTGTAAGTCAAAAAAAGGAAGACAAAGAATTTCTTGTAATTTTTAGACTTTGAGGTTAGAAGGTCACGGTCACAGATCCCGAATCAATGCGGAGCCTGATTTGCCTTACATCTGTGAAGGACAAATGCCTCATCTGCATCATTTGAACTCTTATCTTTGCAGACTGTGGGTGAGCAGTTCACAAATGAAAGGAGCGATCAGTTTCGCTGGCTAAACATAAAGTGACATGTCATGGGATAAGTCATCCAATTAAGAAAATTAATTAAACCAGAGCTTGCTGGAGTGATACAGCATATCAGTGATTTAGCTGACCTAGGAATGCTTTACTGTGGGACCCTGTGGCAAATAGCAGGACTGTTCAGATTGCACCCAACAGGCCCTCAGATATTCTGTTTTCCTTTCCCTCTTGTTCAATTGCATGTTAAATGCACAGGCTTTCCTTTATGGTCTTGTATGCTTTTTCTTAGGGGAAAAAATGGTTTGGGATATGTACTGACTAAGGCCCTAATCCAAAAGCTACTGAAATCAATGGGAACCTTTCAGTGGACTTTGGAACAGGCCTAAATGTCTTCAGCAAAAATACTTCCCCCTGCCCCCTTTCTCTTTTTAACTTCCCCTCCACCTTTCTTTTATTTCAGCTTGGCTGGTGAGGAGCCAGAGTATTGCCACAAATACATATAGTACTTGCTGCTGGGGTTCAGTGGAAAAAACACAATTCTATCTCATTAATAGACCGAATTCACAGGAGCAAGACCCTGTAAACCTGAGAGAGGCTGGATGATTAAGGAGGCAGGAAGCCCCAAAGAAAATAAGTTTGTTAACCTCATTTTTGTGCCATTCCTTCTTTCATGCCCAGTATTTTATTCATTGTTTTATAGTGGCCCACCTAGGGCATTTAGATATATGAAGTATATATTGAATTTCAATATAAAGCTAAACTTCTGGGTGAAATTCTCTGCTGACTTAATTTCTGTGGAGCAGAGGCCCTTATGCCGATACCTAAAAATACATAAAAATGTGCTCAGATTCCTGAGATTTTACATGAAAAAGCGAAGTGTTCTGCTGCCTCTTCACCATCTTAGATTTCATGTTATGCACCCCTTAAGGCCATAAAACAGCGCTTAAGCAATACTTCAGTGATGCCTACACCTTGTGCTGACCCTCCGCACAGGGATGGATTGCACCCAAGTACCCAAAGTGAATAGCAAAAATAAGCAGAGTAAACAAATGCCTCTATTAAAAGAGAAATAAAAATGGTGCTCTCTCCTCTCTAGGTTCCTTTTTTTCAATTCCACTGTTTCTAAATCAGCCAAGCTGACTTCACTGATTTTAAACTACTAGTAGAAAACTGCAATTTTTCATTCCATCTATTTTCTTGAGCAACAGCTATACAGTCACTTTTCCAAGTTCTTACCTGGATTTTATTAAAAAATAGTTTATCCCATAAACTGTCATTTCTAATGATTCCACTTTGGACTTCAGCCTTTTTACGTTCTGCAGCAAATTCCAGAAGCCAACGTTTCAATGGAGTATTTGCTTGGCTAAAGATCTAAGAGAATGCAGGATGGCATGAAAGATTACACAGCTAAGAAAGAAAACAGGGTGTATTAATATCTTTATGAAAACAGTCACAGAATCAGATTTACCACTGGGCAAAGCAGACACCACTCTACTGATGTCAATGAAGTTACCGTTATGCCAGCTGTATCATTAAGACTACTACACTGCAGTTGTAGGTGTACAAATTATGTTTTGTTGCAATCTATTCTGAAATATACTTACTTTTCCCTTCGACAAAAGAGGGGAGAAATCAAGAGAATAGAGGCATTGACTACATTTATATGATCAGTGTTTCTTTATGATTTCTATTATATGCAACCATTAGGTGAAACTATGATAAAGTTCTAGGGTTGAGCAACTTGAATGAGAAAATTTGGCACCTAGCACACATATTGTTATTTGTTGAGGTGATGATGGCCTTTATGTTTTATCTTTATGTTTTATCAGAGAGCAACCAGAACCGGATCTCCATATCAGTACCCCCTCATATCCATCTCGATAATGAGGAACCAGAACTGCAGATCCAAACAGACCTGAACTTGCAGAAAGCTTAAATCAGTAATTTGTGCCTTTAGATCCATCTCTTACTTTTAGGATAAAAACTCTACACATATTGAACATGGCTACAAAATATGCTATCCTCTTAAATACCTTCCATGGAGTTCTCAGATGACCGTCTCTTAGTATGAAGGATTTTTAGCCACAAAGCTAGCCTTGACCATGAAATATTTAAGCCCTTTTAAGAATGCTCATTATATCTCTCCTGTCACTGCAAGCAGCGAGTGAGGACCAAGCTCCAGCACAGGCTCAAAAGTAGAGAAAGCATTAGCACATCCAAGTTTGATACGTGCTACTCTGGGGCTCAGATCCTGTACCAGTGAAATCACTGGGAATGTCACCATTGACTGTAGTGGGAGCAGGAACAGGACCTACATGCACAGAATTTCACTTTAAAACACAATGGGCCAGGTCCTCAACTGGTATAAGCTGACATAACTCCATTGACTTCAGAAAGGCTATGAAGATTTACACCAGCTAGGATCTGGTCTAATGTATTTGCAGTGAGGCAAAAAGTGTACGAGAGTTAGGGGAAAAGGCCAAACCTAAGGGAAGTCTCTAAGTTAACTACTAGACAATTATTGACTTTATTGCTACAAACAGAATAAATGAAACTTACCTTATCATACATTCTATTTAATAATCGAGGTACAACAGGGAAAACGGTTGGACGCAATGTTTTCATATCATCCGATAAGAGACGGATATCTCCTTGAAAGAATCCAATTCGCCCCCCATGGCAATATATGATAGACTGTGATGGGCGGGGGGAGAAACGGAATACTTATTTCCTTGCATTTAATCACTGTGGCAAAGCACCCCATCCCTGTTTTAAAGTCGCATTCCTGAAATTTTATTTACAATTGTGGCTAATGGTTTTTTTAAAAAACAACTAAACCACATAGTACATTGGGTAGAAACACACTGATTTTGTATGAACCTTGATCATAGATTCTTTACTTAGCATTCATGTTTAGAAAACAAAATTTAGCACAATTTGTGGGAGAAAAAGGAATCAAAGCTGAAAGGTGCGATTTTCAAAAGCACTTGAATAACCTAGGAACCCGAAGTCCCACTGCACTCAATGGGGCTTGAGCTTTTAAGCCACTTTTGAAATTCCCACCCTAAGTTCCCAATTTCTGCTTTTTTATTTTTACCATATGACTCATTATGCAACTTTTCTGACTCCACAATTAAATCTCTTTACTAGGTTGTCATGTAATCAGATTGCACAGTTCTCTTACATGATCACTCCAGGACCACTGCATCAGATTGGGGACAAACTGTCTTTCAGTGGAGCATACTTCACAGACAGCTCTTTGTATGGCTGTGGGGTTCTACTGGATTCTGGCAAGATTGAGGTGAATGTTAGGTTGACCAGCCTGTGATTCCATGTTCTGTTGGTCACCATTTTCTTTAGACTCACCTTTGATGCTGGGGACTAGGAAAACATTTAGTCTTTAATGTATAATTCCTCATGAAATCTCTATGCTAGCCCTTTTGTGGTTAACAGAGGTTCCTTCATGTCTTTTTATGCCTACTGAGACTATCTTCATGCAGCTGTTAGAATATCCTATAACCCAATATGCATTTCCTTTGAGGAGAGGATGTACCTGTTGTTAACCCAATGGCAAATGGGAGATCCAAATGTGATTCCCAGCACATGGGCATGCATTCCACTGTTGCGGAGGCTGAGAGCACTGTGAAGGTATCTACTCAGCCCTGGGATGCAAGCATTAAGTCAGTTCTGAGTCTTCTGGCCTACAAAAGATTCCTTGTCTGGGTGCAGTGTGGAGCCATGAGGGCCTCAGGCGGGAAAAAGGGAGTTTCAGGTAGTGAGAAAAGAGGTAAAAATAATAAGAGCTCCCAGTCTGTGTCACATACCATATACACAGTTATTTGCACACTCTTATTTTGGTGAAAAGAAGCATTCCTTTGTAAAAAACCTTAGAGCATATTTAAAATGAAATTACTGGCTAGCAATCAAGGATATTCTGAGTCAAGTGTGGAGAGTTAATTCTTAACTCCCCCTGTACATTTTAGGCTTTGAAAAAAACGCAGTATCTAATATCAGAGCCCTGTAGTATTTAGGTATTAGTGAGTGACCAGTTTTATTTATCTCTGAAATTGCTGGATTTTTGTTGGCATGGAGGGGAAATTTTCAGGACACAAAGGACAATAAGGAATAGGCACTCAACTCCCATTGGAAGTCATTGGGAGTTGACCACCTAAACTCTCTTATGTGCCTGTGAAAATCCTCCCCCATCTTAAATCTTACATTTCCAAAGCCATGAGGGAGTAGCCGTATAACTCCTACTGAGTTAATGGGATTTATGCAGCTATACCACATTTAAGAGCTCTGCATAAGCTTGTCTCTCATCAAGAGAAGTTGGTTCAATCAAAGGTATTACCTCACCTACCTTCTCTCTCTAATATCCTAGATCAGCATGGCTACAACAACATGGTTAATACTTACTCTCCAGGTACTGACTATAAAACCATAGGAATTTAATCAATAGAAGCTTGTGGGTTTAAGAAATATCACCCTGTCCTATCCACATACTGTACTTCACATGTGCAGCAGGTTCCTGGCTAAATAATTAAAGATCCATATGGAAAAAATAGTCACTGTATATGCACAGGGAGCACTTAAAAAAAGTAAGTAGTCGAGATACTGAGGTTTAAAGAGTAATCCCAGGAGCCTGCAGGTTTCTTAACATGGCAAACAGTAATTTAAGTCTGGTCTAGCTGTTATTAGAGTTAGGCCCAAAGCAGAACTCCAAACCTAAAATCCCACCCAAAAAAACAAAAAAAAAACGCAAAAAACTTTGGGAAAGCTTGGGTTCAGATTCTGATCCAAAAAACATGGCGTACGTCCAAATCTGACCACAGAATCTGAGCCCCCGCTACGTTTTGGGACATTTGAGTCAGAACTGAATCCAGATCCAAATGTCAAAGTTCTGGCCAATCTCTAGTTCATGGATTTTCAGACCGGCAGCTATCATCTGCCTTATTTGGAAAGAAAGTGAAGTCACTTATATGGGCTGGCATGAGTCAGTACTTCTACTTGTCATTATTTCCAAGAGATGATGGCTTCCACTTATTGTGCATTATACACTGATCTGCCAGGAAGACTGCATGTGTCACCACTGTGGGGTTTTTTCCTGCTTTTCAGTTTCTGCAAATCTGACACCATAAAAAGAGTGGAGTTGATAAAGAATACGTGCAATATTATTTTAACCACCATGATTGCTGGTTCTATAATACTTTGAAAAGCTGCCCTCCCAAAATAATAGATATCTTTTGCCTCCAAAACATAATTATTTCTGCACGTGCCATTTTCTAATCTCAGTTACGCTCCAGAGACTCTATTAGAGTTGCCCCAGATTTACCTGTGCAAATGAGATCAGAATCTGCACCCATGAAAATTTTGGAGTACAATCTGTTTGAGCTCTCCAGTATATTGTGGAGTATTTTGCCGTGTTTACAATTTTATTTTGTTATTTTTTAGTGTGGAAACAGAGGACTTCCACTGACCCCATGACCTTACCTGTACCATTTTCTCAAATATGTGTGCTAAAGGCAAATAGGAAATGTATACATCCTCACAAGAAGGAGCCCACTGACTCTGGAAGAAAACACAAGGAGCCCCACAAGGCCTAGTTAGTTCAGACAGGTTTCTTACCTGTATAACTCTTTCAAACATGTGAGCCAGAGGCAGGAAGGAGATGAGCACATCGTCCTGTCTCGGAAAGATCACTTTCTGCAGGTGAAGGGCATGGGAGACAGAAAGGAAAGAAACACTGACAGGAAGACAACAAGAGAGTCATAAAATAATAAAAAGAAAAAGGCACCAGAGGAGCAAAAGGGTAAAGATTATCGAGAGAGAGAGAGAGAGCAGCATACGAAGCGAAGCGTTAGGCCACAACATCAATGAAGCTAAGTTAGCAGGAGTAGTAAAGAGTGCAAGGATGTACATAGAGAGCAATGGAGAACTCTCCCCGCTGCAAAAGTGTATTTATCAAGCTCATACTGCAGACAGTTGCTGACACCGAGGAACAAATTTTCCTACATAGGCTTTTAAAGTGAGGTGATCAAATAAAGATTTGCACACTCAAATTGGCATTTGCCTCAAAATGGGTGTCTGGCATTTCAAGTGCCCAGATTCAGAATTTAACTATTACGGCACAGTGCTCAGCTGCACGGAGTACACATTCACACTTCTCCTCAGGCTCAGTGCAGCCGAGGTAGAGAAGAGCTCTGTCAATACTGGGACTGCCAGGGGCCAAAATGGCCCCCAAGATAAGTTTGAATGGTGCCCCAGGGCTGCTCTGCTGGCTGGGGATTGGTGGAATACTTTCTGTTCTACCTCAAACTTTCTTTTGCTCCTGGAATACCTTTTTCTTCATCCATCCGACCCTTACATGCCCCTGAACCAAGGGTTAGCAGGGGGATTGCATAAAGCTGGCCACCCCAGCTTTACACTAGGCCAGCATTCCTCCATCTTGGTGGGATCTTCAAGATGTCCCATTAGGGTAGCTTTAAAGTTGTTTTGTGCCACTCTGCCAGTGTGGAGTGAGCTTAACACAGCTGACAGTCTGGCTCCTAGCCATGATGTCTAGGTTTGAAGATTTGGGCTTATTAAGCAGAAAATTTGTATCAAAAGTTTAATCGTGTACAGAGATGGGTTCTTTCCTCCTAATTACAACCCTGATCCTGCAACTGGATTCAAACAGACGGCCCCTTTAGCCCATGTGCATCCCCCCTGAAGTTAGTGGAGCTCTGCAGAAGCACAAGGGCCACTTGTGCAGATCCAAGTGCAGATTCAGGCCGTTAGATTGAAAGATGCCAGATTTTTTGCAGAGGTTAATTATTGATTTTAGTCAGAATAATATGTTGGATTACTGAGCTGCAAAAATTAATTCGTTTTGGTTAGTGTTTCTTCCAATTTTAAGCATCTACGTTATCGGTGCCCCAGAGACAGATGTGGGGGAAGAAAGAGGCTGAATAAATTATAAAAAGAAAAAAAACTGTTTGGTTTGCTAAGATTTCGTATTGTGTCTTATTGGACTGGAATTTAACAAAGGCCCTTAGCCTCACATATTCCATACAACACAAGGAAAGCTAAAAAACAAAAAAGAAACTTCTCTACATAAAACAGTTCCCCAAGGTGTAGGGATAGCCATATTACAACAATTACAGAAACTGATGGCTTGATTATCCATTACGCTGCACCTTGTACACAGGGCAAAGGGGGTTTAAAACCTTGCTCAATCACAATGGTATCATTTCACATCCACTTTGCACTCCCATTACTCTGCTGTATATGTCAACACAAGGTACAAAATAATGGCGTGTAACAGAAGCGCCTTAGTTGCTTTCCCATTGAAAGGAATATTGAGATTGACTCTCTTTGGGGCAGGTTTTCCTGTCACCGCCTGAGGTCAGGTGTGATAAGAATTTAGTGTTTTCAGGGTCTTTTTTTCACCTGTTCTTTTATACGGCAGCCTGAATATTCTCTTGTGTACAGGAAACTAAGGTACTGAGATCTGCTAGTCTACCCGCAAGTGTTTCTTCAAACTGGTCTCCTTATCCATAAGTACAGCTGCGAAAAACCAGTCTCATCACTGAAGAAAAAAGTCATATTTTTCCAGTTTTGCTAAAAAGGAAATATTTTGTGCCTTTGATGCAATATTTTTCAAAAAATGAAAATCTTTGTTTTTTCTCCCCAAAACCAACAATGACAGTATTTTATTTTATATTTGGCAAATATGATCAGGCTTGTTCCAGGGTAAACACTTGGCTGCTGTGGAAGTGCCTTTCCTTGGCATTTGACAAACACTTTTTAGAAAAATAAAAGAAAAAGTCAGTTCATTTGTAAAACGCAGCCAATGGGAGCTGCGGGGGGCGGTGCCTGCACGCGAAGGCAGCACTCACCGCACAGAGCCGCGCCTAACCCTAGGAGCCAAGGAACATGTCACCGCTTCCATGGAGCCCCCGAAACTAAGCACTGCCTGGAACCTGCACCCCCTCCTGCATTCCAACCCCCTGCTCCAGCCGGGAGCTCCCTCCCACACGCTCAACCCCTCAGCTCAACCCCCAGCCCCGAGCCCCCTCCTGCACACCAAACCCCTCATCCCTGGCCCCACCCCAGAGCCCGCACCCAATCCCCTGCCCCAGCCTGCAACCCTAAGCTCCCTCCCGCACACACTCTCCCTCCCGGAGCCTGCACACCGCATCCCCTCCCCTGCCCCAGCCCTAAGCCCCCTCCCACACCCAAACTCCCTCCTGGAGCCACACCCCCTCCCACACAACTGCCCCAGCCCTGAGTGCCCTCCCATACCCAAACTCCCTCCAGAAGCCCACACCCCCTCCCGCACCTTGAACTCCTGGTTTCTGGCCCCACCGCAGAACCTGCACCCCCAGCCCAGCCCCAGTACCCCCCTCCCACACCCCAACCTCCTATCTCAGCCTGGAGCCCCTTCCCACACTTCAAACTCCTCAGCTCCACCCCCCCCAGCCCAGAGCCCTCTCCTGTACCCCAAACCCCTCCTCCCTGGCCACACCCCTGAGCATGCACCCAATCACCTGACCCAGCCCGGAGCCCCCTCCCATATCCTGAACCCCTCATTTCTAGGCCGCTCCCCCCCCGAGCCCTCACCCTCCCCTGCACTGCAACCCCCTGCCCCAGCCTGGTAAAAATGAGCGAGAGAGTGAGAGTGCGGGACAGCGAGCGACAGGGCGGGGATGGAGTAAGTGGGGGTGGGGCCTCAGAGAATGGGCAAGGTAGGGGCAGAGCAAGGGTGTTCAGTTTTGTGCAGTTAGAAGTTAGCAACCCTATTAATGGCAGTCTGAGGTCTTGAACCAATACCCTTTGAAATCAATGGAAAAAATCCTATTTCCTGCAATGGACATTGTATCAGGCCTTTGGGGCTTGATTCTGCAAAATTCAGAATAGCCTCAAACTCCCTTGAACTTGAGGGTGCTCAGTATCTTGCAGGGTCAAGCTCTTAGTTCTTACTACTGTCAACGGTCCCATTGACACTTTATGGTGATCATTAATGAGGCCCCAATCCTGCAGATACTTGAACAAGTTCAGTGGGATTACTCTCATCACATGCATGAGTATTTGCAGGACTGGGATTTACACCCGGGAACCTTTACAGATTCAAGCCAGGAAACAGGTGGGTGTGTTAACAGTACATTGTTTCTTTAACTGTAATAGTTCAGCCAATGGACCTTTTACGGTGTACCAGTAGATTCTTTCCACCACTTAAGTATTAGCAGTCTATTAACATGATTAATCTGTGCTTCAGCAATGCTGTTTCCCATATAGGAAGTATGGTCTCCAAATGCATGTTTTAAATGTACTGCACCATATAAAAACTGGCCAGTTTTCTATTTTTTAAAAATTATGTTACACAGTGTCACATATATCATACTCAAAATACAGGATGTAACAAGTTGTGTTTTAATATAAATAAAATGATTTTTGTAATATTTAAAATATGTTGCATAGGTTATCATATACGTTATATACATTGTGTGCAGAACGATGGCTAGCAAACAAATAACGAACATGTGGGAAATTAATTTTCTCTAGGGGTTGGTTTATTGTTTGGGCATCCCTGGGAAGCTTGTCGTCATTTTTTAAGTTCTAAGCATGAGTCACAATTTTACTGGGTTCTTTGGCCTTGACCAGGGGCCCAGTACTGCAAGATCAACTCATTGACTTAATGAGAGTTGAGGGTGCTCCCTAAAAGCAGTCAGCATCTCGCAGGAGCAGGCCCCAAATGCATGTGCCGTAGTTGAGGGGGAAAATCTACTGTCATTCACCACTAAGGGCTTAACCTTGCTCCCATTTCAATGACTTGGGCCCCAAGAGTGAGATTTCACTTATCTCCTTGAGCATATTTCCACATCTTCAATAGATCTGAAATAACCCAAAAATTCAAACTGAAAAAATCAAAGGATGCGGTAACACTCTCTAGATCAAGGTATTCACCTCTGTCACTTTCAGAAAGCCTGCCAAATCAGCAATCATATTCCTGTGAGTCAGCATAGCACCTTTGGGGTTCCCTGAAAAGAAAAAAAAAGAAAAAAGAAACAGCATTAATAAAAGACCCTGTAGTAAATTTTCAAAGGCTTCTAAGACCTGGAGATGTTAAAATTCTTTTCAGTGTCCCTTCCTGAATTCTAAAATAGCAATTTTCACAAATGAGTTGTTTCTATGCAATAAAATATACAAAGATATAATATATACATGTTCAATATAAACACACAGAAGACCAATAACATGATTTTATTGCTCATTCTCTGGGCCAGATACTGTGAATCAGCCATTGAATCAGAGGATTTAAGAATGATATGCAACTTTTTATAAAGTATTACTGTAAAATAAGCATAGCATGTTTTAACTGAAGGTTTTCTTCTCTGTTTGCAGCTGCTCAAGATACCATTTGACACACAGACCAGTCACCGAGATTTTGGCTAAGAATGAGCTCTTAACTTGAAGGTTTCTTTGGCAGTTCACTGACATTAGCACCACTGTCTTCTCTATTCTGAGTTTTGGCTTCTTCATGGCCACTTGAATAACGTTTCTGATGTTCACACCTCTCAATACACCAAAGTGTAGAGATTACTGGGTAACACACAGGGCCACAGATAAAACTGCAGCACTTCTTACCCCTAGGCAAATAGGACACAGTCAGCACAGAACATTAAATACTTCTGAGCATGTAAATAATAGAAAACACCTAGCATCGATCCATTCTCAGGACCATGGTCAGGAGCAGTAAAGGGACTCCCGACCTTGAAGTGCTAGTGACTAGGACTTGACATATCTTCCTTTGCCTCAGCACCAACCCTCTTCATCACTCTTAAAAGGGACTAGTCACAGAGTAAGTTGCTACTCAGTGTGAGTAAATTGTCAGAAGGAGGCCGTATTTCCCCTCCATAAATGGTAAGTAGATTAGTTTTAAAATCAGACTGAGCCACTGTATTGTACTTCCTGGGACGGGCTGGGTGGAACTGGCCCTCAAAGAAGCCTTCATTCTTTAACAAAAAGTAGATGGAGCAGTTTGTCATATAACAGGTGCATGATGAATCAAACCATGCCCTGTTGAATCCCACTGAAGTAAATGGGCCTGCCCAAACTATACGTCCAGGCAGAATTTGCTCCCTGGATAAATGAATCATGCCCCTGGCATTTAGAAGGGGTCTCAGTGGCTTGGAGGTTAATGTATCAGGCTATCTTTTAGGGACTGGGCTTCAATTCCTCTTCAGTTCACAAACTTTGCAGGTACCATGCCACTCCCTCTGTGGATACTTCTTCAGATCACAAAGACCCTGCATAGGTCAGCACTATCAGCAGTTACTGCCCAGGAACAGCAGGGGTGTTGAGCTCAGTTAGAGCCTCATGGACAAGACTGCACAATGCGTGTTCTCTTCGTTCTCCCTTCATTGCATGAACACCAAATTCACACAACATTCAGACGGATTAAGTGAACCCTGAACACAAACATTTGCCACTGAACATATTTATTGGAATGAACTGGACATTTATAACATGTAGAGTATTTTAGAACATGTCTTTAAACAGTGTTCCAAGCACTTTAATCCCATCTTTAAAACCAAAACATTTTTACCAAAAAATTGGCAAAGTTACTATATTACATAGAAAGAGTTCTAAAATGTTGTACGATTTTGGTGTAACGTACATGCACGCCATTCTGTTTCATAACCCATAGTCAGGGAGAGAGCTAACCATTCTGCCACCAGCAAGTTTCAGTGCTACACGCAGACTGTCAGATGCTTGCTTGATAAGGCAGGTTTTCTTATAAAGTACGAATATATTCATGGGTGGGGGAAAAGGCAGCCTCACAGGCATGGGAATCCAGACAGAAAGAATTCTGTGAGCCAAGCTAAAAAGTAGATGTGCATAGGAGACCAAGAAACTGCTCGTCTTACATTGTGTGTCTTGCCAAAAATTTTTTCTCAAATCAGCCTGTACAATTCAGAGGGTAGCTGTACTTCCACAGAGTTGACTTCAGGAGAAACTTGTGAATGCACCAGTCCACTCATCCATTTCTTGTTCAGACCAGCAAGAGAAACCTGCCCCCGTGAATTTTTCTTCAAACAAATTATTGGATACTCTTCCTTAGTTTGATTACCTCGCTGAAATGCATCCTAGAATATATACCCCCAACTATATCAATTAAGTGTTTTTCTTTCAGTACCCAGCGAGAAATCTTCAGAGATCCTGGGAAATGAGATGGATTCTTAGTTTCTTTCAACACTTGAATTCACTTATTCGGTCCGTGAAGATTTTCATTGCATATTCAGATAATCCAGAACATCTGCTCCGTTTGCTCAAACCATCATCATCACCATTGCAAATAGGAAATTCGGTAAATATATCCCTTCCTTCCTCCCCCTTTTTCTATGTGAATAACAGCTGAATTCAGTGTCCCAGAGTATTTGTGACACTAAACACATCAGAGAAGAGCACCAGTTTTCATAACCTTAATCACCAGAAGCCTGGGACTATTTGACAGAATGTCCAGGCAAACAGAGTTCACTTTGCTACAAGTCCTTTCCCAGAACCCATCCTGGATGGAACAACAGCATATTAGCTTTTCCCCCCTTTATTTTTAAGTCATTCATAGATTCATAGATATTTAGGTCAGAAGGGACCATTATGATCATCTAGTCTGACCTCCTGCACAACACAGGCCACAGAATTTCACCCACCACTCCTGCAAAAAACCTCTCACCTATGTCTGTGCTATTGAAGTCCTCAAATCATGGTTTAAAGACTTCAAGGAGCAGAGAATCCTCCAGCAAGTGACCCGTGCCCCAGAGGAAGGCGAAAAACCTCCAGGGCCTCTTCCAATCTGCCCTGGAGGAAATTCCTTCCCGACCCCAAATATGGCGATCAGCTAAACCCTGAGCATATGGGCAAGATTCATCAGCCAGATACTACAGAAAATTCTTTCCTGGGTAACTCAGATCCCACCCCATCTAATATCCCATCACAGGCCATTGGGCCTATTTACCATGAATATTTAATTACCAAAACCATGTTATCCCATCATACCATCTCCTCCATAAACTTATCGAGTTTAATCTTAAAGCCAGATAGATCTTTTGCCCCCACTGCTTCCCTTGGAAGGCTGTTCCAAAACTTCACTCCTCTGATGGTTAGAAACCTTCGTCTAATTTCTAGTCTAAATTTCCTGGTGGCCAGATTATATCCATTTGTTCTTGTGTCCACATTGGTACTGAGCTTAAATAATTCCTCTCCCTCTCTGGTATTTATCCCTCTGATATATCTATAGGGAGCAATCATATCTCCCCTCAACCTTCTTTTAGTTAGGCTAAACAAGCCAAGCTCCTTGAGTCTCCTTTCATAAGACAAATTTTCCATTCCTCGGATCATCCTAGTAGCCCTTCTCTGTACCTGTTCCAGTTTGAATTCATCCTTCTTAAACTGGGAGACCAGAACTGCACACAGTATTCCAGGTGAGGTCTCACCACTGCCTTGTATAACGGTACTAAGACCTCCTTATCCCTCCTGGAAATACCTCTCCTAATGCATCCCAAGACTGCATTAGCTTTTTTCACGACCATATCACATTGGCGGCTCATAGTCATCCTATGATCAACCAGTACTCATCATTAAAGTATCCTCTACTTGAATTTGCTTCACAGAGATGACAGCACAAAATATCCTCAAGATAGCACAGCACATGGACACAGATGCACAACTGAGGAGTATCAACAATGGTAAGTGATTCCGGGCAGTTAATCAATAACCAGAATATGACAGTCTTCAGGTGTCACTTCAGTGAGGAGCTTGTCTGCCACTTCTTATATGACACTTCTCATCCAGTGTCATTTCTGAGCCTGTAAATGGCGGCTTATTAGGGTGCCCAGATGTCCTGATTTTATAGGGACAGTCCCGATTTCTGGGACTTTTTCTTATATAGGCTCCTATTACCCCCCACCCCCTCTCCCGATTTTTCACACTTGCTGTCTGGTCACCCTACTGCTTATACCAAGTTAGGATCCATGAGTTACTGGAGAATTCTGCTGAACCATGGAAAGCCTTCATCAACATCCAATTGGCTCTGCTGGAGATAGGTTTCCTTGGAAGATTAGTCACTGGTCTGTACTTGAAAAACTGAAGGGTGTTTTTTCAGAGCAGTCAGTACACAGAGTTGCATAAAAATGTTTCATGTACATTTCCACTCTTAGCAACAGCCATTGCCTCATGCACAGTTAGGAGTTGTGTTGACAAATCAGGAAAAAAAAATGAAGGTGAGTCCAAACATCTCAGAGTCAACCTCTCTCTTCCTTCTGTGAAGGCATTTTGTATGTCTGATCCTATGAATCATATACAAAAATTAAAATCCACTCCTGAGTTTACTAATAAACATCCTCTCTGAGCATGGAGGATCCTACAGTTCTTCCTTCAGTTGCTGTCCCAACTCCTAGAGGATGTGTTTAGTGTCTGGACAAGGAGTTCTGGACACAGCTCTGTGCACACAATGTGAGTGCAGAATCTGAGTCGCCCAGGGGCTCGCGGCTGAGAAGTGAAATGATTTCATCCCCCATGCAGGCTGAGCAGACTGTGTCCACAACATTCTCAGCCCAGAACACAGCAAAGGCTCTCGGGCATGTAGGAATGTTATCAGGAGGGCCAAATCGCACCTGGAGCTGCAGCTAGCCAGAGATGTCAAGAGTAACAAGAAGGGTTTCTTCAGGTATGTTGGCAACAAGAAGAAAGCCAAGGAATATGTGGGCCCCTTACTGAATGAGGGAGGCAAAACTAGTGACAGAGGATGTGGAAAAAGCTAATGTACTCAATGTTTTTTTTGCCTCTGTTTTCACGAACAAGGTCAGCTCCCAGACTGCTACGCTGGGCATCACAAAATGGGGAAGAGATGGCCAGCCCTCTGTGGAGATAGAGGTGGTTAGGGACTATTTAGAAAAGCTGGACGTGCACAAGTCCATGGGGCCGGACGAGTTGCATCCGAGAGTGCTGAAGGAATTGGCGGCTGTGATTGCAGAGCCATTGGCCATTATCTTTGAAAACTCGTGGCGAACCGGGGAAGTCCCGGATGACTGGAAAAAGGCTAATGTAGTGCCAATCTTTAAAAAAGGGAAGAAGGACGATCCTGGGAACTACAGGCCAGTCAGCCTCACTTCAGTCCCTGGAAAAATCATGGAGCAGGTCCTCAAAGAATCAATCCTGAAGCACTTGCATGAGAGGAAAGTGATCAGGAACAGCCAGCATGGATTCACCAAGGGAAGGTCATGCCTGACTAATCTAATCGCCTTTTATGATGAGATTACTGGTTCTGTGGATGAAGGGAAAGCAGTGGATGTATTGTTTCTTGACTTTAGCAAAGCTTTTGACACGGTCTCCCACAGTATTCTTGTCAGCAAGTTAAGGAAGTATGGGCTGGATGAATGCACTACAAGGTGGGTAGAAAGCTGGCTGGATTGTCGGGCTCAACGGGTAGTGATCAATGGCTCCATATCTAGTTGGCAGCCGGTGTCAAGTGGAGTACCCCAAGGGTCGGTCCTGGGGCCGGTTTTGTTCAATATCTTCATAAATGATCTGGAGGATGGTGTGGATTGCACTCTCAGCAAATTTGCGGATGATACTAAACTGGGAGGAGTGGTAGATACGCTGGAGGGGAGGGATAGGATACAGAAAGACCTAGACAAATTGGAGGATTGGGCCAAAAGAAATCTGATGAGGTTCAATAAGGATAAGTGCAGGGTCCTGCACTTAGGACGGAAGAACCCAATGCACAGCTACAGACTAGGGACCGAATGGCTAGGCAGCAGTTCTGCGGAAAAGGACCTAGGGGTGACAGTGGACGAGAAGCTGGATATGAGTCAGCAGTGTGCCCTTGTTGCTAAGAAGGCCAATGGCATTTTGGGATGTATAAGTAGGGGCATAGCGAGCAGATCGAGGGACGTGATCGTTCCCCTCTATTCGACATTGGTGAGGCCTCATCTGGAGTACTGTGTCCAGTTTTGGGCCCCACACTTCAAGAAGGATGTGGATAAATTGGAGAGAGTCCAGCGAAGGGCAACAAAAATGATTAGGGGACTGGAACACATGAGTTATGAGGAGAGGCTGAGGGAGCTGGGATTGTTTAGCCTGCAGAAGAGAAGAATGAGGGGGGATTTGATAGCTGCTTTCAACTACCTGAAAGGGGGTTCCAAAGAGGATGGCTCTAGACTGTTCTCAATGGTAGCAGATGACAGAACGAGGAGTAATGGTCTCAAGTTGCAGTGGGGGAGGTTTAGATTGGATATTAGGAAAAACTTTTTCACTAAGAGGGTAGTGAAACACTGGAATGCGTTACCTAGGGAGGTGGTAGAATCTCCTTCCTTAGAGGTTTTTAAGGTCAGGCTTGACAAAGCCCTGGCTGGGATGATTTAACTGGGAATTGGTCCTGCTTTGAGCAGGGGGTTGGACTAGATGACCTTCTGGGGTCCCTTCCAACCCTGATATTCTATGATTCTATGATTGCTGTGTTCTATTGCCTACCATCGTAGTGTGTCATTTTACCACTAGTCTGTCAGGCTAGCCTCTGGGACTCATATATGTACGGTGGATGCCATTAAACTAAAAGCAAATATCTGACAGTTATAGTGACTTTGCCGTGGTTTGTCCAATATTTAGAATGTACACCACTGTAGGCATTTATTCCGTACCATGTTCACTCTTTACTTTATAAAGGACACTCATTATAAAGTTCTTAATGGAACAAAAAAACCTCCCTTTGTTCATTGGTTTGCATTCTCCGCAACGCAGAACACTTCAGGTATAACTTCCCACAGTAAAACATATATGATGCAGAGGAAAAGATGCTTTTAATAGACTTGCAGCATTAAATACTGTATTTGGAACTGATAAACACACTTACCTATTCTGCAATACACATTCTCCCCAGTAGATGGCAGGTCACAGCCTAGACTCTTGTGCTGCCTACATTCTGTGCTTATCAAGCAATAGACAATTCTGTTCTTGGAAGGTAACTCAGAACAAAGCCGTTCAGTTTCAGTTGTTGACTCTTGCTTGGCTACCACAAAGGAAGTCATTTTGAGGACACTAGTGGGTAGTACAGAGTGATAGACAACCCCAAGAACAGACAGTTAAAGAAGTAGGGGCTGGATGAATGGACTATATGATGGATAGAAAGCTGGCTAGATCATCAGGCTCAACGGATAGTGATCAATGACTCCATGTCTAGTTGGCAGCCGGTATCAAGTGGAGTGCCCCAAGGGTTAGTCCTAGGGCCAGTTTGTTCAATATCTTCATTAATGATCTGGAGGATGGTGTGGATTGCACCCTCAGCAAGTTTGCAGACGACACTAAACTGGGAGGAGTGGTAGATACGCTGGAGGGTAGGGATAGGATACAGAGGGACCTAGACAAATTAGAAGATTGGGCCAAAAGAAATCTGATGAGGTTCAACAAGGACGAGGGCAGAGTCCTGCACTTAGGACAGAAGAATCCCATGCACTGCTACAGACTAGGGACCGAGTGGCTAGGCAGCAGTTCTGCAGAAAAGGACCTAGAGGTTTCAGTGGACGAGAAGCTGGATATGAGTCAACAGTGTGCCCTTGTTGCCAAGAAGGCTAATGGCATTTTGGGCTGTATAAGTCGGGGCACTGCCAGCAGATTGAGGGACGTGATCATTCCCCTCTATTCGGCATTGGAGAGGCCTCATCTGGAGTACTGTGTCCAGTTTGGGGCCCCACACAACAAGAAGGATGTGAAAAAATTGGAAAGAGTCCAGCAGAGGGCAACAAAAATGATTAGGGGGCTGGAGCACATGAGTTATGAGGAGAGGCTGAGGGAACTGGAATTGTTTAGTCTGCAGAAGAAAAGAAATGAGGGGGGATTTGATAGCTGCTTTCAACTACCTGAAAGGGGATTTCAAAGAGGATGGATCTAGGCTGTTCTCAGTGGTAGCAGATGACAGAACAAGGAGTAATGGTCTCAAGTTGCAGTGGGGGAGGTTTAGGTTGGATATTAGGAAAAACGTTTTCGCTAGGAGGGTGGTGAAGCACTGGAATGGGTTACCTAGGGAGGTGGTAGAATCTCCTTCCTTAGAGTTTTTAAGGTCAGGCTTGACAAAGCCCTGGCTGGGATGGTTTAGTTGAGGATTGGTCCTGCGTTGAGCAGGGGGTTGGACTAGATGAGCTCCTGGGGTCCCTTCCAACCCTGATATTCTATGATTCTATGACAGATGTGGGCAAAAGAGTGGTATTTTAATCAGTATTTCAGGACTAAAGTGCATTTCTGGAATGTGTTCCTAATCCACAGATAACTGCTGCATGCTGCAATATGAATTCGGATTGATGCTTGAAGAACTCTTGGAAGAGGATTAGCTCTAGGTTTCTATTTTTGCTTTTCTATTTTGAAGTGTTATGCTTTTATGTCATGGTGGATACTGGGAATAAGTATCAGTTATGCTCTTTTTTTTTACATCTGCAGAGAGAAATTTTTAAAAAATCCAACAGATACACACAGAGTACATTTTCATACACTTGGAAAATCATATTGCCAAAATATATTATTTAAGGAGTTACAAAAAATAATTTTTCTGCATTTTTATACCAGTGTAGTCTAAGTTTTTTATTTGATTATAATTTTATATATATTTGGATATAACACACACACACACACACACTTAATAGACATAAAACAAATACCATTGTTCTATATATGCCAGAACTAGACTGTGTTTATACATGGTGAGCTGTATTCAGATTGATTTTGGTAGTCTAATGTAATGTATTTCGATTAAAATGTCTGTTCTGTTACCTGTAGTGCCACTAGTAAAACAGACAATTGACAGATCTTCTGGTCGAGGAGGCTAGAAATACACAAAGAAAAAGGAAATTATAGAGTCACAGGTTAGCATCATTAGCCTTTGTGCTCACTTCTTTATTGAACCAATAATATCTCAACCCTGTCCTTTCGATTTTTTCCTGGAGTTTTCAAAAACACATAATGTAATTCTTCCTCTGGTACGTTTATCCATTTGGTCTAGTTTCCTTCTTTTCCCCTAGGTTTAAGTGCGTTAAAGGAGTGTGCTTTAGTGTGATGAGTCCATCATGCAAGATTCTTGCCTACTTATAATATGCTATATTCCCTAATGAAAGAAAACCACAGTCCTCAAGCTTCTGCATGACAGCTGTTTGAACTCCTTGTTAAAAATAATATTTAAGCATTTGGCCCCTTTGGGGATTAGGACATTATTTGCTAACAGATCCTGATTTTCTTCATCTGTATTTGTTATTCATGAGTGTCTCACAGTTGGGATGAATAATATATAGATGATGAGTTTGAAAACAGATATTTTCTATTTGTTATTCATGTCATGTGTTGGGTTCTCTAAGTCACATGGCATTTTTTCTGGTCCCTAACTGGATGATAAACTTTTTATTAAGAACAACAACAAATATTGTTCTAATTTCTGGCTGAATGCTCATTCATTCTAAAAATTAGGGACATTTTTGGAAGGTACCAGCATTTGCACAAATAGCCACAAGCACCAAATACATGCAAGTAACAAATAATAAGACTGTAGGAAATTAAACTCAGCATTTTTACCTGTAAAGTATTTGGAAGTCAGGTTTCTGTCTACCATGCATCCAGCCTTAATCTGACAATGTAGTTATATGTTTAAATGTTTGGGGGCCTTAGTTTTTGGAAGTCCAGTTTGAGACATGTTGGGCCTAACTTTCACTGCTGAGTGCTGCTATCTGCAATTGAAGTCAATAAGATCGGTGAGTGCTCAGCAGCTATGAAGATCAAGCCCTGTGTGTGTCAAGTTGGGCCACCAAAAAGTAACACACCCAGAATTACAGGCCTCTTTTGCATAATTGGCCGTGAGTGCACCCAGCAGTACCACAGTCATTCTTAGTAAAACCATACCTAATTCAACAGCTTTCAAAATGCTCTTAACTGGTGCTGCCGTGGTGCATTTTTTAGTTACAGAAACCCCAAGAAGTCTCCAAAGGTGGCGGTAGTGGAGGAATCCACTCATACGCATCGGGTAAACTTTGCTAATTACCATTTAAATATTATACTTAATATTAGAATTGAATCCGGCTACACATAGCTGGCTCTGCAGGGATGACGCACGTCATCTTCCATTTGATCAGAAGATAACTCATGACTGTGCCGTGGCCACCCATTGTGATTTGTCTTTTCTGGTTATTGTTTTGTTTCCTAAGGAACATTTACTGTGAGTTGACGTGCTGTGGAGTGTAAAATTAGACACAGTGTCACCAAGACCATGAAGGTGACTTGTGTCGGCACACGAATCCTATTCTTCTGTAATTCTGCAACTGCTGTTTTAGGGTCCAGTCTTACAGTGTAGGAAGTTCAATAGGGTAGACCTCTAAAACAAATGTACATGTGTAAGTGTTTGCAGGACCTGTCCCATTTTTACTCTGTGAGAACACCCCTTGCTGTAGTACAAACAAAGCCCTTTGATTCCTAGTATGGCTAATGACAGTATGCTGAGCACTTTAAATGGTAGTGTCAGGGAAATAGAGGGTTTCAGTGCAGTCAGGATATGTTTTCCTTGTGGGGAGACTGTCTTGGAAACAAGGACAGGAGGTGAATAAAAGGGAGTTCTGCTACTAGAGATTACATCAGAGTACTAGCTCTTAGTCTGATTTGTAGGACTGAGTGCTCAGAAATCATACAAGAACAAAATAAAGTAGGAAGAGAAACAGGAAGATAAAAGGATTCGGGGATACAACTAATAAAGGGCTATGGGTTTTGACCACTAGACTCTGCTGTAAAGGGCCACTCTCATAAAAGAATGAAAGTTATCCCTTATCCTCAAATACATCACAAGTCTCCACTGAAATAGAGAGAGGAAGCAATTCTCAGATAACAGTAACTTGTCTTTTATTATTACAAGATTTAGAGATGTCCATATGCAAACCACAAAGTCTGAGTTAATGACTTCAGGGCTGAGTTAATGACTTCCGAGTTAATGACCACAAGGAGTTTGCCTGAGTAAGGATTGAAGGTATGGACCCTTAATGTCCACCACAGTTTTTTTTAACTCCACAAAACTAATAACAGCCCCATCTGTAATTCTGTTCTTTGCTTTAGAATGTAGTAAACGAACATGACAGATTGACCAATCCAAGTCCAGCTCTAAAACGGTGGAAGAATGAAAGGGGCAGTGCTAACAGGAAACCATTGGATTGCATTGTGCACACCTCATAAATAGTCTCTTCTCTAGTGAAAGGTGCTTAGGGCCCAATCCAAACCCAGTGAAGTCAACAGTAGAGCCACTTGAAATTTTTTCCCTCACAAAAGGTTTTTCAAAGAGAAAATGCTTTTTAAAAATGAACCTAGAATATTCATTTCCAGCCACAAATTTAGCCTGAGGCAGTCACCCAGCCCCAATGCTAAACTTATTCCAAACTAGCCAACTGGGATGCACCCTACCTAATCAAAGCTAACAAGCCAGCCTCAGACCCAAAGGTAGATTTTTCTGGCCAACACATCTGAACCCTATCACAGCCAGAACTGGCCAGCTAAACCAACATCAAATGTCTCAACCTCAGCATCTATAACCATCAAAAGCCAGGATGGCCCAAAGGCACAAACTCTAAAAACAGAATGTCAACCAGCCTCAAGCCTAACTCTGGTCAGAAGCCATTAGCACACACCATCACTAGCCCTGCCTAGGAAAAGCAAGAAGGCCCAACCATAATATTCAACCATACTACTAGCCCCAAACAAGCTTTGATCAAGGTAGCTCACTAAAGATAGCAACATAGCTGTGGTAGCAAGGGCAGGAGCACTGGATAGCAAGCTGAGTACATCACAAGAGACTGTACTTGGATAGTTAGATTGTGCTGCCTAACTTTAGCCCAGGGCCCCCTGGCAGCCCCAGCCCTAGCCTGGGCCTCCCCACAGGCCTTTACTATTATCATAGCCTGCCCTCCCATTCCCATCACGCCCAGTCCTACTCAGAGCCCTGTTGCTGCTCTACTCCTAATTGTCGTCTGGGTCCACGTGCTGGTTCTGACTAGAACCCTCATCTGTGCCCACATATCCAGCCCAGGCCAGCATTTGAACCTCATTTGTGTAAAATCAGGCTCCAAAAATCTTGAGATTGGGTTAAAAATCCTGGGATTATAATTTTAAAAAGAGTGTGGTTTTTATTTGCGGCTGGGGTTTAAACCGTTAGGATTCACTCAGGACATGTTTTCAAGCTTTTCTCTCAATCAGGCTAAAATTTACTTCCCCCCCCAAAAAGGAAAATGGAGATTCTTATGAAATAACATGACTCCAGGATCTGAGGCTTTATTAAAATCACCATATATGAGATTTGCAATAAAAAAGCCATCTCTCCCCTAACATTAATCCACATTTAATTCCTAATGCTAGCTCACTCCTTTATGTTTACCATAACCCATGACTTCCTACTAGCCCCAACCTTATGTCTGGAGCTATTTGGTGGGCAAAAGTGAGACAGAAGATTGAGGTGGGTCAGTGTCCTGAGGTTCATGGCGTAGGATCACACTGCAGGTGAAGGTTACGAGTTCATGCCAGTTGACAGGCATCAGTTAGGTTAGGATAGAGGGCAGGCTGAAGAGCTTTGTCTAGTGTTATTGTTGGGATAATACAGGGGTCAGTAACCTTCAGCATGCGGCCCATCAGTAATCCACTGGCAGGCTGCCAGATATTTTGTTTACATTGACTGTCCACAGGCATGGCCCCCTGCAGCTCCCAGTGGCCGCAGTTCGCCATTCCCGGCCAACGAGAGCTGCAGGAAGCTGCAGGCCACAGGGACATGCTGGCCACCGCTTCCTGCAGCTCCCATTGGCTGGGAACGGTGAACTGCAGCCACTGGAAGTTGCGGGGGGCCATGCCTGTGGACGGTCAATGCAAACAAAGTGTCTCGCGGCCTGCCAGCGGATTACCTTGATGGACCATGTGCTGAAGGTTGCTGACCCCTGGGATAGTAGGTGGGTCCATATTCTGATTAGGGTTTGAGTTAGGATTCAGGCTTGTTAGCAGGCTGGGGCAAGAGTTAAGGATGGGACCAGTTAGCAGATGTGAACAAGGATTAGGATTGGGGATGGATGGAGCTCTCAAACTAGGGTTAGGGATTGGGTTTGTATGTGGACCCAGATGAACCTATAGGAATCTAGTCTGAGATGTTTCCTGTTTTTTTCTGACTGGCAATCGAGATGTCTTAACTGGAGCCATTAATTATTATTACGTTGTTTTTATACTGTCTTATTGTTGACTTGTAGCTCATTTGCCTTTCATAAATGACACTATTAAATTCATGTAGTCTGAAATCTATTCTAAAGTCAGGAATTTTGTTTAGCAGTTTTTTGAAGATGGTTCGTTTAATTTGTCCTACTTATTCTCACACTTAGCATTCACAAAGCTCTTTAAAGAACACTGTAGAGTCTCATCCTCTATTATTGCTTCCTTGGGTTTATGTCCTGAAGTTCTAATTAAGGATTCAGGGGATATAATTTATGAAGCAAATAACATACATTTCAGCAAATGAGATCCACTACTCAGACCATTAGTAGAAGATAATGGAGCATCTTTAGGATCCTTCATTGTCAGTCACCTCCTGCTGAGGAATATACCAGACACTACATTTAATGAACATGCAAACACAGTGCAGGGTTGGTGTGCACACTCTGGCAAATTATTCTCTCTTTCATTTGTGAAATTTGTTTAAAGTAACTACACGCAATTAAAGGTTGGAGAAAAGAATGACTGGACTCACCACAGGGACACGCCGACTCTCACGGCCACAAGCCTGAAAGAATATTAACAAAATCATTTCCATTCTAACATATGCAGATTAACGTGCTTGTTAATAAACTGCAAATGACTGAGGAAGCTGGAGACAGAAAGGGAGAAAGAAGAGCAGGAAAATCCTGCCCTGACATCTCTACAGGATCCGGTTTAGAACAAAGTTTAGTTGCAGTAAAACCTCTGAGAAAAATACATAAAACAAAAGAATCCAGCATAAAAGAGAAAAAGTAGCTGATCAATGTGCCTACTAATAATAATGTAACTTTATTCATGAGAAGCAGCTTCTTGCTTTAACTGAACATCCATCTCCTGGATTTCATCAAATAATATCTGAGCTGATTATTTCTGAGTCTAACATTAAACAAGAGGGATAGGAACTTCACCTCTACTTCCTGCATGGATTGGACCTGAACACCACATCTTTGCCCTCTTTCCTCTAGGTCCTTCTCAAAAGGGTCCATCAGAATAATAGACTTTAAGCTTGGCATTTCTCTTTTCTCCACGTGATCCAGGAGGATTCTGGCTTTTTCTGGTTTGTCACAGATTACTGTGGAAATATCAGCTAAAAAACAAAAACAAAATAATTTTTTTTTTTACTTAAATTTAACACTAGCTGCACCTTCACAGTAATCTCTGCTAATCAGTCTTTGACAGTCATCTTATATTTATACCGTGAGAGCTTGGAATATAATATATATTTTCTCTTAGGAAACAAGTACATTTTAATATTTAACCCTAGTCACCATAAATCAACACTGAACAGAGCACACTACTGTATCTGAAATTGAATGAGTGGTAAGGCAAATATTTGTTTGTAGCACAAAGTGCATCAAACCGACAGCTACAATTATTTTAGGATTCAATTAAAAATATTAAAACTGAACCTCCCACCCCCAAAAAAACCCCAACCCTGAATGGTATGAAGTGGTTGTTAGAAACTCAAAGCCAAAATGATAAAAGGAACAGATAGTAGCACTGAGATAATTCTTCTCACTGGAATGATCTTGTCAGTGCCTGGTTGCTGTTATGAGCCTGAGCTATCCTGCAGCCACAGAAATAACAGCCAAGCTCTCCTTGAGCCAAATTGAAATGCACACTGGGCCAAACCCTGGTCCCACGGAAGTCAATAAAAAAAGCTCTCGCTGTCCTCAATTGGAATTGGCCATCTGTACAATATGTAAGATGCAGTGGAAAGAAAGGGCATAAAAAGAGAAAGGACATTTAAAAAAAAAGAAAGAAATACATCCTCAACTTGTGTCCGCGATTAATTGTAAATTGACAGTTTGCATCCTCAGAGGATCTGGCCCATTCTTTAAAAATATACATCAAACGAGTGTCCAGAAGTCTTGAGGGAAGTGATTATAGCACAAAAACCTTCCTTCTGAGAAAGCAGTGTGTATTCAGGATTCTCATTTTCATATGGGTTATAAAGTTAGATGCCACTAAAAATCTGCCCTGCTTTTGCATTATTATGGCTCAGACCAGTCCCTGCAAAACAATTGTACAGCCTTGTGCTCAGTTTTTGAGCCTTTATAAAAGACTTTATAAAAGTCTTTATATTTTGCTCTTACGGTCCTGAGCCCTGATCTTGCAAAGTTTGAAGAAGGGGCTTAACTTTAAGCTTGTGAGTTGTCCCATTGGCTCCGATGCTTAAAGTTAAGCATGTGCTTAAGTGCTTTGCAGGATTGGGACCCTAGAACTTTAAAATTCTATTTGTAGGGAGAGAGAGTCTCATTTTTTTGGGGAAGTCTATTACATAATAGAATTTACCCTGCCAGGCAGAAATCCCAGTAAGACGGGTGCAATGTTAAGGCTCAAGACCCATAATGTTCAAAATAAAATACATGCATAAAGTGAGGTTACTAAATGATAGATTAATTGTTAGCTCTTGTCATTGGAACAAAATATGTAGTAATTGGCTAATGTTGTTACAGAAAAAATGTATAAGGGAAAACTTATAAACACTACACTAAGTTCAGCAATAGAACAAGCTGTAAGACGATGCGTGGCTGCAAATATACAAAGTTTATCCATTAGGGATAATTTCAGAATAATAAAGCCGATCCTGCCATGATACATAGAGATATACTATATAACCCAGATCAGGTTACTTCCAGCCAAAACGATTCACTGAGACAAAGCATCTGCCTTTAGGAAAGCAGAAGAGAAATCAGTCATTCTGCATAGCAAAAATGATTTTCTGAAAACCTCAATGATATTTATGCATGTCTGTTTTTACCTGTGTTGATAATGTAACGAATGGCTCCATGGCCCAATGTGTCATACAGGGGGACCACCACCATAGAATAGGTATAACAACCCAGCTCAGAAATGATCCACTGGAAGGAGATGTTACAAAGAGAAAAGGGGTAAGGGATGAGGAGTGATTAAAACACTTAATGAGTTTAAAATTTAAAGTGAGATCAAAACTCAAGAATATTGTTAATACTGCATGAGGTTACAGCAACATCTCACCTCTGGACGATTTTGTGCAAAGATCCCAATAAACTGACTTGTTGTTTGTTTACATCCCTGTTGGAGTAACCCTGATCCTAAAGCTTCTGCTCTTTCAAAGACCTAAAAGTGGGAGAAAAATGGATAAGAGAGAGGAATGTAAGCAGCAGACACAAATGAAACCTAATCTACAGTGGTGGGCTCTAATATTAGTTTGTTGGATAACACATAAAACAGACTCTGGTCTCCTGTATCCATTAAGGAACTCATGACACTTTTGGCATTCACTCTAGAGCCCTGGCTAAATTCCAACTTGAGCAATTAAATTCTGCGTACTTAAAACTCCCCCACCACGTGAAATTGTTTTGATGCTCTTTATTTCTGGTCTTAGAGCTAATCAGTAGTTTATTTATTTCAGTGTGCATAATACTTTGAGTGCTATTACACGGCTGCTCCACCCAGAAGTGGCTGCATAACAGTGGTGAGTGAGGCAAAGTAATCACATTTGATCAAATCTGTACACCTTACACACACGTATGCCCACTGAAGTCAGTGGAACTACTTCCATGAGTGAAGCCATCAGGATGCAACCCAGGGTTTGTAATTCTCCAAAGCTTTGGCTTGCGAAAGATGCTCTGTAAATCAGTACCACTACTAGTCAACACTAAGCTCCCAATCCTGTTAAGTGCTGAGACAGCTCCATGGAAGTGAAGAGTGCTTATAGCAGCTGCCAGAAGAAGGTGTGCAGTATCTTGGAGGATCCTGACTCAAATGAAAACAAGCAGGTAATTGAAAGTGGTAAAATAATACATGATCCCCCAGCTCTCCAGGATAGCACTAGAGGTTTCTTTTAAAAACAGCTACGTTTAGACAGAAAGGATAAGAATTCTTGGTGAAAGAAAGAGTCATGATAACCTCACCTCTTTATACGACAACCATTGGTAAGGCTGCTTGGGCTTTCTGAATCCTAGACAGGGGCCATTCTCTAAACAAAATAAACAAATTACAAAATTATGGGGGGGTCTTAGAGCCAAGTGCTAATGAATTCTAGGACCCTGAGCACCTTAACAGTAGGAGGGTGCTCTAAAAGTTACACCCATTGTTATTATCAAGGTCAATCCATGTTTCTCTGAGGCAGAGTTCACACAGAGTGCTGCCAGATTAAAAAGGAAGACAGCCCTGTATAATGGTGCACTGGGTTATGGACCATTTTGAGCCTTCATTCAAAATTGCAGAGGTGGTGGTGACACTGAACAGGCCCAGTGCCCTGTTAAACCAGCTTTTCCTTAAGACAGCGTGAACATCATTATCTGACAATGGCTTTCATCCTAAATGTCACCTCCCACAGATCTGACTGCCCTTTCATTGAAGCTCTAGGAAATCAAAATTATTCCTAATAAAAATGCACTTCTCTGGGAGAGGAATGGAGAACATAAGTGTCTCACTGTGGAAAAGGGGACAGCAATACTTGGAATGTTAAATTGCCTTTCTTCCCATACCTCACCACACATAACCCACCTGTTCACTGAGGTACTTACATGTGCCTCATCACTGAAGAACAAACTGCATCATACACAGCAGTTATTCTGTTGAGGGTTCTGGTGGCATTAAAACACCAACCATTTGAGAACAAAGCTCATGTGTTTTGTTCAAGTCCAAAAAGGATCACAGCAAGGGCCCCATTAAATCGGTGGCCAGGAGCCTAGATACTCAGATTGTGAGCTTTTTGGGGCAGGTCTTTTTGTTCTGTTTCCACAGTACCTAGCACAAAGGATCCTGGTCCATAACTAGGGATCCTAGGGGCTATGGAAATGCAAATAATAATAAATAATGACACACTTCAGGGTACCAGACAGGAAATGCTCAGAAAGCTTCAAATACATGTTAAATATGGAGGGTTTTACTGCATTTAATGTAGAACCGATACAGTATTCCAGGTGTAATTTAATTTTATACTGAATGTAATTAAATTTACTCTGCCTGTACATTTAATTTTCAATGTACTGCAAAATTTTGTATTGAAAACCTATAACTGCTTTGTAAAAGCGGTCAAGGCTGAGAGGTTTGGCAGCTGGGAAAGACATAGTGGGAGCTTTTGGCATCTGGGAAGGTGTGGGAGGCAGTTGAGGACTGTGGGACTCATTTACCGGGTGTTCCTGCTAAATGATCAGTTACCAATGTTGCCATTTAAACTGTCATCATTAGGTTTCAAAGTTAACATCTCACAGAGATAAGGGCAAGATCACACACCTCTCAAAGCTATTGTTTCAGGCTGTCTGCAGACTCAGGCATCGCTATGCTGGTTTATACTTGGTTCAAGTTTGGAAAGTCCCCCCCCCCCCAACCCCATAACCATGAAAGCTAGAAACCTTTTTTCTTGACATTAGTGCTTAGATTCCAAGGCCCAATTCTGCAACATGAGACAGACTCTGAGGCAAATTCCACTGTGCAGATCACAGGGCTCTGACTAGAACCTGTACTTGCATGCATTCCTTTCACTTAGTCCCATACATTACATCCTCTTCGCCTCCCTCTCTTTCACCCCTGTTCCTGTTCCTCTTTTCCTCAGCTTATCAGTTCAAACATTATTCATGTAGTTACATTTTTAAGATTTTTCACCTTAAACTTCAGGTGCAGTAATAAAGAACAAAAAGGTGTCAAGACCAGTTTATTTATATAAAGATGGGGAAACAGAATTTAAGAATTCAGGCTGCGTTAGGACTCTGGCATTAGGACTCTGAAATTCACAGCTTCCAGTTCAAGAGCTCTCTGACTCAGAAAACCCATCTTATCAGGACCTGTGTTTGGAAAGTCCTCATTAATAAAAGGTCAAAGGTACTTTTCAGGTACTTTCCTCCTCCCTACTCCTTTTGTGCTCTTGCAAGGCTCTGATAGGAAAAGCTGATACTTAGAAGGGTGACAAAGGCATCCTTTAAGAGTCATAATCATGGAGCTACTCAGACTCTCCCCTGCTCCTGGCTCCTAGTGTCCTATCCACTGGACCAGTCCTGCCATTCCAAAATCACAGTTCAAATAAAGGAATGCAGACAAAACATGCTTAATAATTCTATCCATCTAAAGCACCCGTTGGCAGGGTTTGTGTCAACTGTAATTTTTAATAGCACTAACATGATGCTTTCTTGAGGACATTTCAAGCTACAAAATTAGTATCAACCTAGGCCAGAGAGAGATTTATTGCTTGCTCCCTTTAGTTTAATTACTGCAAGATAAATATATCATTTCTGCTTTCTGTTCCCTGTAGCCACTGTTTTATCCCTAGACAATTAAAACAGCACTTTTTACAGTTAAGTGTGTCAGATGTAGGTCAACTGAGAAAGATCAGTGGTGGAAGGGGTGTAGTTTATTTGCTAAGTTATGCAGATGGAACCTTGCAAAATTTCTGCCATTTACCCAAGCAGGGTCAGATGCAAGCCCTCTGCATGGGGAACTCCACGATCATTGCCAGGGGATTGGAAGGTGCTCGGCAGCTCTGGAAGCCAAACTACTTATTCAGGTGCTTAAATCTGAATTTAGGCACCCAAGATTAAAAATGATGGCCATAAGATAACATCTTCTAAAGTGCCAAAGGGATTGAAGTGTTTATGAAAGCCAATGGGATTTAGGGGCCTCAGCCATTTTGCCACTTTTGAGTTTCACCCACACGCCCCACTTCAGTAAAAATACCATGGCTTCCATGCTTGCTGTAGCCTGTGAAGCTCTTCCATGGCTGTATGCTGGTTTCTGCAGTTAAGAAGCTGATTGTGGCCTGAATTTGCTTCACTTCTTCACTCAAAACTCCTACAGGCCCACGTTTTTTTGGACCGGTTGTTTCCCTAGCCAGCAAGGCCCAATCTTGGTCAACAGCAGACCTCTTATTGACTTCACTGGGAGTGGGATTAAGCCCCAATCTGTACAGCTGTTTTCTCCAAGGACATCAGACCCAATTCTATGCTCTGACCAGCGCTGAGATAGCAGCAATGAAGCCCAGTGGGGTTTTAGTCAATACAATGATATTTACATATCCTCATCACTTACCAGATATGTTAAATCCCCTTCTAAATACTTCATACATTGTCCTTACATCATCATAGTAGTTAGATAATAATTCTGGGCTGTCACCTATCACGGACCGCCGAGCTCCATCCCAGCCCTATGGAAACCAAAAACAACATATAATGATCGGATCAGAACCTTTGGAAAGAGAGAGACTAAAAAAACCAAACAAACCCAGCACAACCATCTTCGGAACCTGGTCCCATAGTGCAGTACTTAGGCCATGACAGCCTGAGCATAAAATGCAGGATCAGGCAAGCTGGCATCATAAACCTAGAGGCAGAGAGAATTTAATCATGAACCTGCCTTAAGCTTATATTATAACCTGCATGATGGATTAGCCTCCAAATTACAAGTGCTCTAATATTTTTTGTGGGAAACCATATTGAATTATATTCCGGTGTTAGCCTTGACATAAATATTTGCTTTTGTCTAAAACTGTATAAAAGTCAGACAGGCGGGTTTGTTATGATTTTCCTTAACCCACCAAAAAAATTCCCGCTGTTCTGTTTCTGTAAAAAATAAAAAAGCCAAGCCAAGCCATAAGGGCTTTATAAAATGAAACACAAAACACAGCCTATGTGATTCACTTTGTAAGCACATTTATTCTTCACTCATAAATGCAGTTCTTTAAGTAAAAACCAAGGAAAACAACAACTGAGCCCCAAGCCTACTGACTAGTTAGGCTACTGGGTTTTTGTGTTTGCCCAGAGATACTAATGCACTTGCACCAGCTTCACCACTGATTTTGCTCTCTAGCCATGCCCCAAGGATTTAGCCCATTCCTTCCCTCCAAGGCTCTAGATCTGATGTGGGGGACTGGCAATTTTTTTTCCAATGTGCGCGCAGGTCCGCGGACCACCACTTTGAGTAGCACTGCTCTAGATGATTGTATAGCTTTCTTACTCTCTCCTAGTACATGGAACAAGAATCTTTACATGCTCATCATTTAGAGCAGCTGTCGGTTTTATTCACAGATTGAAATTAGAGACTAATGTTTCTAGTCTCAAAAATCATTCAAATAGTTCCTACATTCATGGAAATATTTTAGGCTGATATAGAAGGAACAGACTAGACAACAAAGCCCCTCAAATTGCATTGAATCTCCCTTACACCTCCCACCCTTCACAAAGAAATCTCCTGGTTTTTCATGATAGGGAGCAAATTTCCATTCCATGTCTTTCTTTGCTTTAAACAGAGTTTGATTAAAACTGATTTGACATTTTTTAGTTTTATTATTTTTTTCCATCCTCTCTTTGGTGGGTTTCAGCCTAGCTTTGCTCTCCTATAAGGATGCTACTTTTAAAAATGAAGAATTGAAGGCTTTCAGGACATAATTTATTTTAAAAAAATAATTCAGTAACATAAATGTTGTGCATTTATATTCCGTCCATCATTCAGAAGGATTTCAGAATGCTTTTTTATGAACTTTACACCAGAATTCACCACGGACATGCAGCTATTTCTATTCAGCAGCTGCTGTATTCCGTCCCAGAATACAGAAACATTAATTCTTGTATAATGATCCAAAACATCTTATCCATTTATAAATGGAGAGGCAATGCGAGTAGGCAAAATGTAATTAATTAATCAGTCTAAAATTTGGTCTGCTCCCTGGAGTTATCATACCATACTCTTGCAAAAGTTGCCATGAGTTTTTTTTTTAAAAATGGTCTGACTCCATTGAACATCTTGGCCTTATTGAATTCAATGCTAGTTTTGTGATTAGCTTCAGTACGGCTAGGATTTCGCCCTTTACCTAGAAGACTTCATTGGCACCAGCACAGTGCCTGCTAATGCAATGGGTTGAGCACTGGTTCTAGGCTGACCAGATAGCAAGTGTGAAAAACTGAGATGGGGTGGGGGTTAATAGGTGACTATATAAGAAAAAGCCCCAAATATCAGGACTGTCCCTATAAAATCAGGGCATCTGGTCACCCTAACTGGCTCAGTACTGACTCAGAAAGAAAGATGACAGCTACTGAATGAGCAACATCCTTACAGAAGACTGCTTTTACTTTGGGAGTTTCCTATCCAAGTACATTAGTCTTAACTTGCACCATCTGGCTGTAGGTACAGTCATATCTTTAAAACCAGCTAGTCTGTATTTTTGGAAACATTGCACCAGTTCTGCACTAATGTATAGATATAACCAATCCACAGGAGCAACTCACAGATCTCTGGTTTGACACAGCGCTCTAAACATCAGCAGTAAAAATTCAGACTACTAGTCAGACTGCTGGGACATACATTTGTTTACAGGGCAATACTGTAAGATGTTTGCTTTTTGAATAATTCATAGATTCATATACTTGAAGATCAGAAGGGACCATTATGATGATCTAGTCTGACTCCCACATAGCACAGACCAAAGAACCTCACCCAATGATATCTGCATCACGTCCATAGCTCATGTGTGAGCTATAGGCTATCATTAAGATAAGACAGATCTCTTTCCAAAAGTCTCCAAGTGATGAAGAATCCACCACACTCCTGAGTACATTGGTTTAGTGGTTAATTACTCTCACTGGTAAAATTTTGTGCTATATTTCCAGTCTGAATTATTTTAAGTTCAGCTTCCAGCCATTGGATAGCGTTGAATTCAAGACCAACTCCCACAAGGAGCATTGCTATAGCCAGTGAACACACAAAGTACAAAATAGTAACTCTGACAAAATCAATAAAGCCAGACCAAAGTTTTGAGAGGTTCTAGTTACCTATTCTACACTAATAACTATTCTAGCATCAATGAAGCTTGCAGAAGACAAAACATCTTTTTATTCTTGTACTTGATCTTGGACTTCAAAACAGCATTGATGATAGCTGTGTGACAGAAAATAATCCAGTCTTTCTGGACGAGGTATCTTTGAAAAAAAAAAAAAAACGTAATAGAACTAAGTAACTGATTTTAGTGCTGATTAAAACAGCCTAATTTTTTTTTGCGGGAAATTTTAATAATTTTGTTTGTTTTTGGGAAATTTCCCTCATAAAATTTCAGTTTTTTCAATTAACAACCAAAAGTCAAATATTTTTTAGTTTACAGTAAAAATGTTCAGTTAGAAAAACCCAACTTTTCTTTATAAAAAAACAAAGTCCCCTTCCCCCCTCCATTTTTACTAATTTTTTTCCATGAAAACGTTTCTTTTGGGCAAAAGCTGTTTTTCATTAAAAAAAAAAAAAGTTTTGACCAATTCAAATAAATGAACATAAAGGCCTTGATCCTGCAAACACTTACAGATGTGCTTAGCTTTACTACCATGAGCAATGCCACTGAAGTCAGTGGGACTACTCATGATAGTCACATTAAATACATGTGTAGGTGGTTGCAGGACCAGGGTCATAGTTTGGACCTATCTGTCAAATTCAGTCCTGGCATAAGAGCACATAGCTCCTACTGACTCCAAATGGAGGTGCACCTGTTACCCCTAAACTGAATTTGATCCCAAAAGTTCAAAGAAATAGTCCCATTCAAATTCCACCCTCATGCAAGAAAAGGTACCTCAGCATGCTATCACTGGCCACCTCTGCTTTTGTTTGCTTGGTGGTTTTAACTAGTGTAGTAAAAATTAATAGCCCTAGTAGAATCATTACCTTCATATGACACCACTCAGAGGAGTTTAAAGTCCCAGAAGAATTTGTGCAATGAATGTTAGATAATGACTACGTTACATGAATTCTAAAGCCAGAAGGGACCACCAGAGCATCTAGTCTGACCTCCTGTGTGAAAACTGCTTTCAGAACAACGTTGGGACAGCTCCCACAAAATGCATGACACTGCACGATTCTCTTGGAGGTAGTTTATGTTTCCCAAAGACTTTTGAAGAAGGATTGCTATAAATCTGTAGATGGCATAGAGAAAAATATTTCTGGAAGCTCATTTTACAACTAATGAAAAAAAAAAACAACCAAAAAGGACACCTGCTTGTAGCCAAGAAGTCAGAGCTGGAGAGCCGGAGGGATACTGATAATACTGTAAAAAGTGGAGGTTAATGCAGGTTCATCACAGTAGCTCTGCTCTGCAGCGGGAAAGGTGAAGAAACATAGTGGCGCTGAAATTTGCCATTCAAACATAGAAGTGATCTCTCCTCTATAAGTGCAATATTGCACCCTTTTAAAAAGGGAACATTAAATTGCACCAAGGGGCAAATGCGGACCCCAGACTTGGTGGGCACCAAGGTCAGTAGATGCAGCAGGGTCAGGAGCAAGTTTTGGGGAGCCCAGGCAGATAGTGTTCATCCACCAGTGTACTGTGGACTCTAGCTTCCTGGCCTGGGAGTTGCCTGCATAGCTGTACATGCAAGGAGAGGTGGTTAGAGAACAATGTGGGAATAGTGAATTTGCTACTATGTGGATCTACTTCATTCCCTCTTTCGGAGAGGCACTGACAAAGATACAGGGCAGCTTGTGGGTTTGGGCTGCACTGGAATCAGTGGAAGTTTTGCCATTGGCTACAATGAGATCAGGAGCTAGGCCTTAGTATGGCTCATGCTTCTGTTACTCTCGGGATTGACTAATAAATACCATCTCAGGTCCACAGACAGGCCAAGCTCTTGGGAAGATAAGGCGGGTTTCCCATTAAATAATTCACTTCGGAGTATGTTCAGCAAAAGTTTTGGACTCTGGATTTTTTTTTTGTCCTTCCCCATTGCCTTTTGGTCTTTCTAATTGTCTTGTGCCGTTGCCTAACGATAGCCTTTGAGAGAGAAAAGATGGTTATTAGTAGGGGAAGCAAAAGTGGATGGGAATCTGGGAGGCAGTGACCATGAGTTGGTTGAGTTCAGGATCCTGACACAGGAAGAAAGGTAAGCAGCAGGATACGGACCCTGGACTTCAGGAAAGCAGACTTCGACTCCCTCAGGGAATGGATGGGTAGGATCCCCTGGGGGACTAACATGAAGGGGAAAGGAGTCCAGGAGAGCTGGCTGTATTTCAAGGAATCCCTGTTGAGGTTACAGGGACAAACCATCCCGATGTGTCGAAAGAATAGTAAATATGGCAGGCAACCAGCTTGGCTTAACGGTGAAATCCTAGCGGATCTTAAACATAAAAAAGAAGCTTACAAGAAGTGGAAGGTTGGACATATGACCAGGGAAGAGTATAAAAATATTGCTCGGGCATGTAGGAATGATATCAGGAGGGCCAAATTGCACCTGGAGCTGCAGCTAGCGAGAGATGTTAAGAGTAACAAGAAGGGTTTCTTCAGGTATGTTGGCAACAAGAAGAAAGCCAAGGAAAGTGTGTGCCCCTTAATGAATGAGGGAGGCAACCTAGTGACAGAGGATGTGGAAAAAGCTAATGTACTCAATGCTTTTTTTGCCTCTGTCTTCACTAACAAGGTCAGCTCCCAGACTGCTGAGCTGGGCATCACAACATGGGGAATAGATGGCCAGCCCTCTGTGGAGAAAGAGGTGGTTAGGGACTATTTAGAAAAGCTGGACGTGCACAAGTCCAGGAGGCCGGACGAGTTGCATCCGAGAGTGCTAAAGGAATTGGTGGCTGTGATTGCAGAGCCATTGGCCATTATCTTTGAAAACTCGTAGCGAACGGGGGAAGTCCCGGATGACTGGAAAAAGGCTAATGTAATGCCAATCTTTAAAAAAGGGAAGAAGGAGGATCCTGGGAACTACAGGCCAGTCAGCCTCACCTCAGTCCCCGGAAAAATCATGGAGCAGGTCCTCAAAGAATCAATGCTGAAGCACTTACATGAGAGGAAAGTGATCAGGAACAGTCAGCATGGATTCACCAAGGGAAGGTCATGCCTGACTAATCTAATTGCCTTCTATGATGAGATTACTGGTTCTGTGGATGAAGGGAAAGCAATGGATGTATTCTTGTCAGCAAGTTAAAGAAGTATGGGCTGGATGAATGCACTATAAGGTGGGTAGAAAGTTGGCTAGATTGTCGGGCTCAACGGGTAGTGATCAATGGCTCCATGTCTAGTTGGCAGCCGGTGTCAAGTGGAGTGCCCCAGGGGTCGGTCCTGGGGCCGGTTTTGTTCAATATCTTCATAAATGATCTGGAGGATGGTGTGGATTGCACTCTCAGCAAATTTGCGGATGATACTAAACTGGGAGGAGTGGTAGATACGCTGGAGGGCAGGGATAGGATACAGAGGGACCTAGACAAATTGGAGGATTGGGCCAAAAGAAATCTGATGAGGTTCAATAAGGATAAGTGCAGGGTCCTGCACTTAGGACGGAAGAACCCAATGCACAGCTACAGACTAGGGACCGAATGGCTAGGCAGCAGTTCTGCGGAAAAGGACTTAGGGGTGACAGTGGACGAGAAGCTGGATATGAGTCAGCAGTGTGCCCTTGTTGCCAAGAAGGCCAATGGCATTTTGGGATGTACAAGTAGGGGCATAGCGAGCAGATCGAGGGACGTGATCGTCCCCCTCTATTCGACATTGGTGAGGCCTCATCTGAAGTACTGTGTCCAGTTTTGGGCCCCACACTACAAGAAGGATGTGGATAAATTGGAGAGAGTCCAGCGAAGGGCAACAAAAATGATTAGGGGTCTGGAACACATGAGTTATGAGGAGAAGCTGAGGGAACTGGGATTGTTTAGTCTGCAGAAGAGAAGAATGAGGGGGGATTTGATAGCTGCTTTCAACTACTTGAGAGGTGGTTCCAGAGAGGATGGTTCTAGACTATTCTCAGTGGTAGAAGAGGACAGACAAGGAGTAATGGTCTCAAGTTGCAGTGGGGGAGGTTTAGGTTGGATATTAGGAAAAACTTTTTCACTAGGAAGGTGGTGAAACACTGGAATGCGTTACCTAGGGAGGTGGTACAATCTCCTTCCTTAGAAGTTTTTAAGGTCAGGCTTGACAAAGCCCTGGCTGGGATGATTTAATTGGGGATTGGTCCTGCTTTGAGCAGGGGGTTGGACTAGGTGACCTTCTGAGGTCCCTTCCAACCCTGATATTCTATGATTCTATGGTGCTGCATCAGTGATTAAGCTTCCACATGATTCAGATTCCTATTAAAGCCCTCAAGGACTCAGGTGAGGCAAATCAGCTCAACACACAGTGTCTTCAATGAGATCGTGCCTCTCATCTGGCAATTACTAGTGTGGATAACCCTGGATTAATCCTTACAACATCCAGTTTCTCTCTCTTTCAAATCAGTGAGTACATATAAAATAAAAATACAGGGTAGCAGATAGTTTAGATAGGGAATCTCATGGGAATATTATTAGTTTGCTATGTCAATTTCATTACAACTATAACCTTCTTTTTCCAAAGTACTTTCCAAATGCTAATTATTCGCACAACACCTCAGTAAGTTAGGCAGGTTTTATTCACTACATGGTAAAAGGGTTTAAACTGAAGCAGAGAGCCCAAGGTCATACAGTGAGACAGAAACATGGCTGGGGAGAGAACCCCAGAGTCCTTGTTCTAATCAGAAGAAAATGCTTCCATGGGAAATGTAAACTTTTGCCCATTTTTTTTAAATAAGTAAGGACAGTGAAGTTCTCTTAACGGGGAACCTGCTAGAAGGACAAACCTGTCATTAACCTTTAGATTCATACTATATGTCTCAATTTTGAATACGAGTTCAACTTGAGATGTTTTTCTTGGATGGTTTTGTGCTTTAACAGGGGGCAGTTTCTTTAGACCTCAAGGCTCCTTAAAAGCATCACGATGAATAAATAGCCTCAGGTTTGAATTAAAGCATAATTTTTTGCGGTATCACTGAACATACAGCAGCCACCTTTACAGAGTTAGCATTGCACATGGTGGTATGCGAGATTATAATTACCATCTTTGGGAACAGTAAATCTTGGTTTTTAGTGGCTTGTATGTAATTTTTCAGTGCTTCATGGTCAAGCCAGGCTAAAACCGGAGGAATTAAGTAGAGATTAAATTCATGGCTTGGGTGTTAGTTTTCCAGGAGTTTAAAAGGAAGGAACAAAGTGGGTCAAATTAATCTGTGGTGTAATAGACTGAACTATTGTCCAGGATGGAACAGTATAGCACCCACAACAAATAGCTAGGGCCTGATTCTCAACAGCCTTGCAGCCATGTACACCCATGCAAAGTGGGTGTAAAACAGTACGCTTCTGATTTAGTAGCACTCTACAACCACTCTGCATGGGTGTGAATTACTGTACAAGGGACCCGGCCGTGGAGACTCAGCCCATGGAATCTAGCCAGCCCAGCCTCTGCATTCATAAGGGTTACTTTTTTATTCGTTGAAGGGTATAAATAATGCTAGTCTTACCGCAACTTCTTCTGTCTGCATCAAGAGGTCACATGGGGGCTTCAAAGCCTTTGGCCGGCTAGCAAACCAGTATGTGATCATAGCTGCAAAGGCACCAATGCCAACTAAGGTGGTAGCTGGCAAGCTGTGGAAAAACTGGCTGAAGCTGTCAAACTCGGGCAGCCGCAGGCTCCTCAAGATTTCCTGTGCTTGCATCTTTTCAAAGATTGAAAGGGCAAATTCTGCAGGATCCAAAGGAAAAAAATGAGTTAATGCCACAGGATTAACAGACATACTAGACATAGGCCAAAACATTTGCCATACTTCTCAGGGAACGAAGGCAAGGAAAGGCAGTTCTCTCTTTACCTTTTAGAAACATACTGCTATGCTGACCCAGAAACAGCTGTCCACAAAAAAAGAAAAAAGCAAAAAAGGCGCAGCTACAAAAGAATGGCACAAAGCAAAAAGCGTAATTAGCATCACAGCAAGAGGAACCATGTATATTTAGACTGTTCTGTGTCTGAAACATGTATCGAAAGCCCCCTGGCTCTGCTTGAAACCAGGCCCTTACAAACAAAGGCAGAGAGACTGAGGCATGGAAGGCAGCTGACTGCTAGAAGAGATGCCTTTAACCTGCATGGATTTTTTCCATTTCAAATATTCTTAGCACTGGTGATAATCACATGATAACTGAAAGTGGCAGCGTACCCTCGGAAAAAGGATGCTTCGCTTCCGTCAGCGAGAGGATCCTTGACTATTCCACACTTCACAGTCATTACAGAGACGCAGAGTTTTGAAAATGACTAAGAATTTAGCAGCAGCTATTTAAAGCTGCAGCTTTTTCTTTTACTTTGTGAGCCAACATCTTTCAGGAAGCCTGTAATTTTTCTCCCACCTCTAACTCAAGGTACTGACTTCTGTGAGCCCCTGATACTGTGCTGTCGTATCTCTTAAGTAAAATAGAAATAAAATTAGCAATCTCTCCATTTCTTCTTTCCCAGCCTGTAGGAGAAAAAGCCCGATTAGTTTGTGTGTCGGTTTTCATATGTATCTGAAGAACAAATTGAAAGGAAGCCAAGTCAAAGCGATGAGTTTTGCATTTAGTTTTGATGTGGTGCATTCTAATCTCTTGTAGGAGAGAGTTCCAGAGTCTAGGTCCAGTTCCTGTGAAAGTTCTTCCTGTGCTCTTGAGCTTTCCCCTGATTGGTCAACAGTTTCATTGTTTGGGTGGAATACAGCTCCTTCATGGGAGGTCCTGGCTGCAGTGGCAGAAGTGATTTCTCAGGTAGCTAGGACCAATCTAACAGTGAGCTCTGAATATCAAGAGACAGACCTTGAACTGGACTCTGCATGCTTTGGGGAACAAGTGCAAGGAGCAGAGCACCAAAGTTATGTGTTTATGCATACCATGCTGCTCAGCCAATGACCTATTGTGCTTTGTACCACTGGGAGCTTTTTCAGGTTCTTTGGATTCATTCTGATGTGTAATGAGGTGCAATGATCAAGCCTGAAGGTCAGGAATGTGAACGTAAGAACAGTCATACTGGGTCAAACCAAAGGTCCATCAAGCCCAGTATCCTGTCTTCAGACAGAGGCTGGTGCCAGATGCTTCTGAAGGAATGAACAGAACAGGGCAATTTATCGAGTGATCCATCCCCTGTTGTCCAGTCTCAGCTTCTGGTAGTCAGAGGTTTAGGGAAACCCAGAGCATGAAGTTGCATCCCTGACCATCCTGGCTAATATCCATTGATAGACCTACCCTCCAAGAACTTGTCAAATTCTTTTTTGAACCCAGTTATAGTTTTGTCCTTCACAACATCCCCTGTGAATGAGTTCCAGAGGTTGACGATGCATTGTTTGAAGAAGAACTTCCTTTTGTTCGTTTTAAACCTGCTGCCTATTAATTTCATTGGTGACTCCTGGTTCTTGTGTTATGTGAAGGGATAAATAACACCTCTCTGTTCTCTTTCTCCACACCATTCAGGATTTTATAGACCTCTATCATATCCCCCCCAAATCATCTCTTTTCTAAGCTGAATAGTCCCAGTCTTTTTAACCTCTCCTCCTATAGAAGCTGTTCCATACCCTTAATCATTTTTTGTTGGCCTTCTCACTACTTTTTCCAATTCTAATATATCTTTTCTGAGACGGGGCGACAAGAACTGCATACAGTATTTAAGGCGTGGGCATACCACGGATTTATATAGTGGCATTATCTATCCCTTTCCTAATTGTTCCTCACATCGTTCACTTTTCTGACTGCTGTTGCACACTGAGCAGATGTTGCCAGAGAACTATCCACGATGACTCCAAGATCTTTCTCAAGTGTGGCTCATCATGGCCTGATCTGTGTCCGATAAGATGGGGTACAATCTTCAGGACACTGGCAAGCAAAAGTGCATGTTCTATGCCCCCTTGACCGTTTGGGCATTAATCAGTCCTCAGGAGCCTAGAAGGATACCTTTCAGAGTAGCAGCCATGTTAGTCTGTATTCACAAAAAGAAAAGGAGTACTTGTGGCACCTTAGAGACTAACCAATTTATTTGAGCATAAGCTTTTATGAGCTACAGGATACCATGGCTGCATGCTGAATGAACAATGTGAAGGCAGAAGCCCTTGATAGTGGGGATGCTATAGAGGAGGCAATTTTTTTCAAAATCCTTCCTTATTCCTACCAGCATTGCCTTATATGAGTTCAGGTTTCTCCAGCTGCAGATTTCAGCAAGGCTTTGTGAAGAGTGGGAAATAGTGCCGGCTACATGGTTTTTTGAGCTCAGTTCATTTAAAGTATCATCGCAGGTTGGTGCAAACTTCCCCTGTTACATTTTCCTAGTATTTGTATTTTAATATTGTGCATTAATTTAATCCCTTTGGTCCCAAAGGATTTTATAGACTAATATGCCTAGTGAGCACATTGTCCACCATTCAAATGCAGTGGCTGCTGAAGCAAAACACAGCACCAGCACCCAGTCCTTCAGAACTGGTGTACCTCATCCAGCTGAAACTGCAGGGGGAATTTTGGTAAGTAGAATGAATTCACTCAAGTTGGAGTTTTGGCCAGGACAATGGATCGAGCCACAAGAACTTTAATGTCTGCAAGATACTATGATCTAGTGTCTGATTTATCAGTGTCCCATGGCGACTCTACACCCACCATGCTGTCAAAGTGGCTGCAAAACAGCTGCACAACACCTCTCCCCCTGAAATATCTCACCAATGTAGGCAACCCTAGTGCAGGAAGAGTTCCAGGGTGGACAGAGCCATGGCCAGGACATTTCTGTAGCTTGGCTATTCCTTGGCAGCTGCAAAGCCCATGATGCTAAGGCAATGGGGGTGCAACCCTCAACTACTCTCTGACAGGGGAAGTGAAAGGGTCAGATGCCTCCCCTTGGTCCCACATCTCTGCACCAGTAGGAGGTGGAATTGGGTTCTTAGAGCTTACATCTCATCTGAAAGACAGCACTTCCAGCAATGCATCTATGGTGCTTAACATCCTTCTGATCTGGCTGCTGACAATTATCCATTCCATTCCCATGTATTTGCATGTGTTGTTGTGACTAGGCCTGTGTGTGTTGCCATCTCTAGTGTATGATATTTTACTTAGTCCATTTAAATCTAATTAGTTATTTTTTGAATATGTAAAAGTGCCACATATGCGCTAAGTCTGAGGTTTACTTGTTTCCTGCTGGGTGGGGGCGGGGGGGGTTAGCAAACTGTTGAGTATTTGATCTTTATCAGGCCTTTCTTTAACTTATTGCTGGATCTTTACAGCCAAGCCCTCCCACTGTGTCCCTGACCATATTATATGTCAACTTCGGGCTCCTATGAGCATACTGTTTGCAGATGGCAACAGATCAGCCTGCTTGTATGTAAATTTCAAATGGCTAACTACCACCTGGGGCCTGATCCTGCAGCTCTTACACATGTGAGCAGTGCCAGTGAAGTCAGTGGGATTATTCCTGTGAATACAGGCTGCAGAAGCAAGGAGGAGGCTGTCAAAGTGCTGATTCTATGCGACTGGAGGATCTGCTATGCAAGAGGGATCCTCAGCTGGCCACAAGGCCACCTTTAAGTCCACTGTCTTCTTGAGAGTCACAGAAGAACGGGGTTAAGGAGAAGAACCTTAAGAAAGAGCCGTAGACATGTAAATGGTTAGATCATGATAATATACCAGTAGATGGCACTCAAAAATATGCAGCATTTGTGCACTGCAACTGGCTCCTAGGGCTCAGCTCTTAACAGTGGGAGACAGATCAAGTACAGATGCTTTATGCTGCGTAATTGATCACAGTGTTATAGGTTTTAGCGGCACAGGGAACGTGCTGCTGTGTGGACTGGCCAGTACAATTCTAGCAAAGAAGACTGGATCTGACTTCCCTCACTTACTCCAGTTAACTGATTTCGATAAAGTTACTCCTCATTTACACCACTGAGAGGATAATCAGGTCAGAAGGGCATCATTTCATCACTGTGCTAGGATCCCTTGCCTCACAGGGGTTATAGGGCAGGCCTACGTCCCCCTGAGAAACACGCCCGGTACCGGGAAGCCCAATGGCCACGTGCTATGCTCCCACAGCTATCTCTGCTCTACTTCTGCAGCACTCCCAGCTGCAAGGGGCACTCAGGGGAGGAGCAGAAGAGGGCCAATGAAAGCAAAGGGTGCGAGACATATGCCTGGGGCAGTTCTGAACCCCAGTAGGCTCCACAAGGGTCAGTGAAGCAGGGGCCTCAACTTAGGGAAGCTCTGAGGACTCCCCTAGTCTGCGCCAAAGGCCGCGCCGTCTGTGTAGTCCCTGAACAGGAGAGGCCCAAGATACCTCCATTGTGTCCTATGCTGGCACCAGTGCAGGCATCTCCCTGCTGCAGAGCAATTAGGATCCTTCCACTGCAGAGGAAGAAGAACCTCCTCGAGAGCAAATGCTCCCTCATTGGCCCAGTCCTGAACTGGGGTAGCTGACATAACTATGCAATTCTCTGTTACCAGAAGGGCTGAATATTTTTCCTGGAGTACAGATGGGGAGGGGAGACCAGAAAGAACGAGAGGAAAAAATCCTTTTCGGTGTAGATCCTCAGCTACTGAAAGGGACACTGTTGAGGTTGTTAGGCATTAACTACCTTGGCAATTGCCCCATGTTGTAGGTCTGGCCTCTAAAGACTCTAGCAATGGAGTTTTTTTTAAATGGATATATTTCTTCAGCACTAAAAATCAAAGGAAAGAGAGGGGGAAAAGAGACCCTCAACT